GTTTCCAGGCTTGCATTGAACCCCAGACCATTCACCTACAACCTGATTAACTCACAGCTCACCACCGGCATGAAAACCTGCAAGGAATATCTCGACTCTTGCCACGAAGCCCATGAGGTTGCATAGCCAGGCTTGTCTACATCGCCGACTCAGGTTGCGGTAAGTCCAGTCTTACCATTCCTCTCTACGAGACCGTTTCTCACTTCATCAAATTGACATTAGATTCGGCCCCCGTATCATCTCCCCTGGTCCTCCTCACTCAAAATTCGGCACTACCAACTCTTCCGTCCCTACCAGAGCGAATTGCCCAGCCGTTTTAGCAAGGAGCATTGATAGAAACACTAGATGAACACGATTCTGTGACAATATGGTGAGCGCTGGGGTGGAAGCACCGAGAAATCTCCACGCACAAGTTTCTGTTGTCGATATTGCTCGGGTCAAGGACCGGGCTGGATTTCGTCAGGTTCGTGAGGGACAAGGTAACTTGGACCTGCCAGCGTATACACCATTGTGCAACAGTCTGGTTCGTGACATGAAGGATACTCGGTGATGAAATATTTGGCTATGCCATGGCAAGATCTGTCACAATTATCTCGGCTGATAACTGACCGACTCGTAGTACCACTACAGGCGTCAACCCCAAATGCTACACGTTCTTCGAGAAACCAACCATTGTGTATCTTGTCACCTGCTCATGGCTAGAGCGTATTTGATCGAGATCACGTCGGCTCGAGAACCGCAGCAAACATATGCAAGGGAAACAACCATCTCCAACTTCACGTCCGACCCCATGCTATGCAAGGTTCCCCCGTGGATTCCGGTTGAGAGAAAGCAATACAAGACCAGCGTTGTTCAAGGCGAGACAGGAATCCACACGGCAGACTAGAAGTTCCTGTGATTCACGAATATCGAGACAATAAACCACAAAACGCTATGTATACTCCCCAAGCAAGTGACACGCACGTCGAGAAAAGAACGGCCAAACGCATTTCACGACCAAGTCTCCCAAACTTTATATCCCCGTCTCGGTCCATTCAAATCAACACTTGGCCAGCTTGTCAATTACAGAGAAGTCTGTGGCGGTGCGCTGTAGTCAAGCAGCAGATGGTATATGGGAATGACTGGCCGGGTGAAAGAAAGGTCGAAGGAGTCAGTGAAAGCACCAACAGGGCAAACTGATGGCCAAGGCGATGTGAGTTATTGCAAAGCAGGTATGACGCCGAGCACTGCAACTAGTTGATCAAGTTTGGGGAATTCGACGCCACGCCGTTAGTGATCCGTCTAAGCCAGGAAAATGCAAGCCTACGGAAGGGTCTTTCGGTTGCATGTTGCCTATTTGTTCATTGAAACCCCAAAGACAACTTGAGCATCCTGATCTCGGTAATGGTGCCCTTGGCTAGCGCGATTACAATGAGAGGTAGGGCTGCAACTCGATGAAGGGTGAGGCGACTCGGTTTGTTCCAGGGCCTGGACCATGACCCATTTGAGGAGCATAGGATAGAATCTCCAGCAGGAAATTGTGCAAGACGCAGTTATATAACAGAAGCACCAACAGGGAGGCCGAACGAAAGGGAGACAGTGGCAGAAGTATATGAGAACAACGATAGTGTATTCCATTAACATCTGGTACTAAGGAGGACCGTTACTCTATCGTACTACCTTCTAGCTTATTCAAGATGTCGACACCTAGACTAGCAGCTGTCCTGCTCCGCAGAGTTTGTTATACAAATATTCGATAAGTTCCTCAAGGGATACATTGTTGGTTTTGGGAAGGTCAACGCTCAGAAATCTCGCGAAGTCCAAGACAAGATTCTAGCCCCATTCCTTGGGCCGAAGGTGATGACCTCCCAGGGCCGTATTCCACATTCATGCGACAAGGCGCCGTTGACTCCCGACGAGGCGGCCTTCTCCTGTTTTCCCCGCCCCGTTGTCCGCTGGCAGAGGCATCCTGGAGTAGTTGAGTCATGCTAGAGATGGAGGCTTCGGAACAGAGCTGTGTCGGAGAAGCCGCGCTCGCCAGTCTTAGGGAACTCGCCAAGACCATCATGGGCGTTGCGCCTTTTCGAGGGGCGTGTTGAAGAGATACGCTCGATATTGCGGTGCCCGTGCCCGGATACAGCGTATGCCCTTAACAGGGTACAGAAGGGCTGCCAGATCAAGATGGTGGAGCAGAAGGGCAGGCGGACAGCCCAGCTCCTTGCTTCAGATACAGAGACCCAGATACTGGTGAAAGGCCATACCTACCGTGGTCCAATGGGTAGTGACGTTTATCGGATGGTCATCTGCTTGGACTGGGGGTCCTTGCTCGATGCGCCAGGGACCCTTTCCCATTGCTTTTATTGTTGGAAGCCACAGGACTGGCGTGGCACAAGGCTCGGAGGAAAATACACCAATCCCGTCTTCAAGGATCTGCATGTACTGTTCTTGATACAGGGAAACGAAAGTCGGAAGAGAGTACCGTAAGATTTGGGTACCGAGATGGCCCGGGAGTCGATGACAAGTACGTGAGTCGGATGCGTGCAGGCAGTGGCTCAGCAAGAGGTATAAGGCCAGCAAATGGCATGAAGGTGATGAACATTGTGCGAGTGGTGACTGATGTTATTGACTCCTTACTCCAGCTTGACCCAGGTGTTATTATCTCGATGTTCCGGCCCCTGATCCTCTCGCTGTGCAGCCCAGACACAGCAGCTGCTCGCTACCCTTAGCAACATCATGTACCATTGAGACATCCAATCTTGGTTCACGTGAGTACCAACGCTGGCATTCCCACCATCCACGTTGTTCCTATGGATTGGCAAGGCATCACCAATGAGCATCTCCACCACCAGCCATGTCGAAACAGGTTCCAAGGGGGTCTGGTCTCGCCAATGCAATCGAACTGCTCGGCTTCTGTAAACATCTGATAGATGTACCTCTTGATCCGAAGACAAGTTTGACACACAGGAGGCAGCAGTAACTGATAGCATGAATAGATGGGCGATGTTGCTGGAGTGGACTCCGACTGGGCCCCCACGAATCTTCCCTTGAACCGACCGCGCTCCAACGCTGCCGAGCCCTTGTGCAATGCTTACCGCCGGTGAACGACGAGGTGCAAGGGTCTTATAATGGCAACGACACTAGGGTAACCTCTGCAGCACAATATATCCTCTCACGCCCTGCCTGCCCAAGCTGCTGCATGAGCTTGATAAGAGAGAACGACTTTTTTAGCATCATGACCATAGTAGCGGATAGGGTAACGATGCATGGCCTCGGTGCAGTCATGGCCACTATGACGCTGCCAAACTCCACCCACCTCTACAGCTTATCCTTGAGAAAAAGAGTCGTCGTTATCGTTGGCGTCGTGGAATGTAGCTGACGGTAGGTCCAAGAGCTGGTCGTGATACAGCAGTCATTCGAGATCGTCGCTCAGCTGGTCGGTGGGATATGGATAGCGATAGCGCTTGTTGGCATAAGATGCTTTTCGAGTGATTGGCAAAGTCTAGTGTACCGACCGACAGGCTTCAGTGCTCCTTGGAGTTGAGGCTGATCGATGCGTCAGGTGCCTTGCTGTACAGCTCCGTCTCCTTGTCTAAAACTGAGCATCACTTCAACTACAAGGTGAGAATGCCGGTCCGCTGCTTTTTCGACTCTTCTTGGGGTTCTTGTGATGACTCCATTCTCAAATGCGATCATCATCCATCCCCGAGCCCGCCGTGGTCTCGGGCAAAAGGCGCTCGGTCGGTACTCCTCGGAAGCGATTCGGTAGCAAGGGACGATCGATGCGGGATGCGCACTTGGAAGCTCGAAGCAGAAATTGACGACAGGCAGCAATGGCCACAGGCTTGAGCCGAATGCTCTGCAAATTGCTCAACGATCGGGATGCGGAAAGCTGCGAGACTGTGTGAGGTGAGGCAAGTGCTGTTGATCATTAAGACGGTCTGTCTGGAAGTTGGAAGGGAGCCCGTTCCTGTTGCTGGCGAGCAACGGCCTCTCCTTCATCAGTGGACCGCCATAATCCCCAACAGTGATATTTGCAATCACGATCGTCGAGCGACAGGAAGTGGCCCGCCTTGATCGGTGATCAAAGAAGCCCGACGCAAAGCCTCCAGCATCTGTATATTTCTCGCCTTCGAATCCCAATTGTTTCAACATCGGTATCCCAGGACCGTCGTTTTTAGACCCCAGCGGTTCGTTGTAACTTGTTTAGCATCGCAATACCATCACATATTCCACAGCAAAGCTGTGATCGAAGCTTATCTCGGAGTCGCAGTCGGAGCCGGAGCCTCGGTGGCGACGATGATGGCAGGTACTCCAGTACAGGGTTCGGGGTCATGTCTCTGGAATTGACGTTCTTTCGTGGTAGTGCTCAGTGACGCCGTTGAGGATGACGCATGGTGGGATTGAAAGGCCGCGATACAGTTGGCGATGCTTGACCGGTTTGTAAAAGGATAGATATACAGAGGAGCTTCGGTGTTGAGGGCTCGGATCGCCGGTTGCCTGTAGAAGAGGATATCGTTCAGCCGCTCGAAGGGAGGTTGGTACGGGGTAAAAAGTCGAGACCGGCAGTTAGTGGCTCCGAGGTAACGATATGCTGAGGGAAGTGGTAGGCGCTTATCGGAAAGAGGAGGAGTTTATTGAGCGGTTCGACACGTATCCGTGAAGTCTCGAGATGAGCCGGGCCTGTAGTGTATAGGCTGAAGAATATTTATCGCGTGAGGGAGGATGCCATGGCAACCACGACGCGTGCACTGGGCAGATTCTGTGCAGGGGCATTTTCGTTAGGCAGGGTGGAGGACTCCAGGCAAGGCATTCACTAGGCAGATTGCTTATAGGCCGTGCATTGCATATTACCCTTGTCAAGCTGAGCAGACATGCTGACGTGACGGGAAATTGTTGACCTTTCTTCGCCTCAACTCTTAACCTTCAGTCTCTCTCAATTTCCATCTTAACCCATTCCAATCCTTGTCTCATCACTAGCCACGGGAACATTTTTTCACAGCAAAGAATCCTGTCCGGCCGCAATGCCACAAGGACAATCGAGTGCTGATGACACAGTGGGGCAGAAGAGAAAGACCACTGAGAACCTCGACCAATCCACGGCTAAGAAGCCAAAGAGCAGCGATGCTCTGACGCACAATGACTACACTGTGGGCTGGATTTGCGCGCTACCTAAAGAGCTTACTGCATCTATCGCGATGTTGGATGAGAAACACCCGGGCCTACCAAAACCTCGGACAGACAGCAATGCATACACTCTTGGCTCTATTGCAGGCCATAACATTGTTATGGCTTGTCTGCCTAAAGGTATTACAGGGAATGTTTCAGCAGCAACAGTTGCCCGGAATATGGCAAACAATTTCCCTTCTATCAAGATTGGCCTGATGGTTGGTATTGGGGGCGGCGTTCCATCCAACAAAGTTCGACTTGGAGATGTCGTGGTCAGCACGCCCACCAGTACCTTCGCAGGTGTTGTGAAGTGGGACTTCGGCAAGCATCATGATAATAAGGATGATTTTGAACGCACCGGGGCACTTGATCATCCCCCCCAGTCGCTCCTCACAGCTTTGACACTCTTGGAAGCACAGCAGAATCTAGAAGGGACTAGAATTCCGAGTTATCTGGAAGAAGTGAAAAAGAAGTGGCCAATGCTCGCTTCGAAGTTCTTGAGAAACGATTCACTCAAAGATGTGTTGTTCAAGGCGGGTTACAACCATGTTAAAAAGGCGACCTTGGGTGGAGAAGCAGGAGGACATGAAAGTGACGATGAAGACGAAGACGAGGAGCATGAGAGCTGCCACTTATGTGACAAGTCGATGACGGTAAAGAGACCTCCTAGGGACATGGCCGTTCACTATGGGCTTATTGCATCAGGTGACGGGCTTATCAAGGGTGCCACTGCCCGAAATAAGCTTAATAAGGACCTAGGAGGACATGTCCTCTGTATCGAAATGGAGGCAGCAGGGGTCATGAATCACTTCCCTTGCCTTGTTATTCGAGGTATCTGCGATTATGCAGATTCTCATAAGAACAAGGACTGGCAAGAGCATGCAGCTATTGTGGCGGCCGCGTTCGCAAAGGAACTTCTGCAACATGTCCAGGCAGACGATATACAGAGGGAACGTCCAATAAAGGACGTAATTCAAGATGGTTAGTTCATGTCATGGAATGCCTCGTCGGTAGTCAATCTTAACACAAGGCTAGTTCATTCAGTCGTATCCGAAACACGAGAAGATGTCAGGCAGATCAAATCTATGCACATAGACAGCCATAAAGCCCAAATCCTTAAATGGCTCACGATATCTGACTACGCTTCAGAGCAGTCAAAGTTCAAAAACCAAAGGCAATCTGGAACTGCCAATTGGTTTTTTGAGGCGGAAGAATTTCGCACCTGGATAGCCACATGCGGGCAAACGTTGTTTTGTCCAGGTATTCCAGGTGCAGGGAAAACAATTCTGGCATCAACTGTGATTGACCACATTGAATCAACCTCCAAAGATGATCTCAGCATTGGCCTGGCGTATATCTATTGCAATTTCCAACGATATGACCTCCAAAACCCAGATGAGCTATTGTCAATTCTCCTGAAACAGCTTCTCGCAAAGTTGCCTTCGTTACCAGTCGATATTAACAGTTTTTATACTTCCCATATGGAGAGGGCAAAGCGCCCAGAAAGGCAAGACATCTTCAATGCGCTACAAAATGTTGTTGCACAGCATTCCAAGGTGTATATCATTGTCGATGCCTTGGACGAATACGGGCCAAGCGGAAGATCACGCGAAAGCTTCCTCAGTCTTCTACGCGAGCTCCAGCGGAGACATAAGATTAACGTATTAATGACATCGCGGTTCGATATGACAATCATCGCAGAGATTGACAATATCTTTGGAAATGTGATAAAATTAGAGATTCTGGGATCCATGGAAGATATAGCACGGTATGTCGAGCACAATTTGAGCATCCTGCCCTCTGCTATAAAGGGGAATAGAAGCTTAAAGGACGACATCATAAAGAAAATCTCCGAGTCTGCAAAGGGAATGTAGGTTCCCTGTCATCAAGAGAATAATGCAAATGCTTATTATTTACAGGTTTCTGTTGGCACAGATATACTTAAAGCTCCTAAGTTACAAGACGTCAGAGACCGAGATGCGACGTCAGTTAACAGCCTTCCAGAAGCATGGATATGAAGACGGAATAGCCGACGCATTGACTCAAGCATACAAAGAGACAATGGACAGAATCAACCAACAACAGCCAGATCACATTATACTTGCCAAAAAGGTGCTCTTTTGGATCGCACGCGCCAAGAGAGAACTGACTATCCAAGAACTCCAACATGCTCTCGCAATGAGCTCAGTGCAGTGTGAACCTTGCGAAGCAGATTTGCCATTCGACGAGACATTGGTTACAGTGTGTGCCGGGCTTGTTGCTGTCGATGAAGCCAAGAAAACTATCCAGCTAGTTCACTACACTGTGCAAGAATACATCAACCAAAGACCTTGCCAGTTGCTTCCAGTTACGGAACTAGATATTGCGCGAGCCTGTATCGCGTATCTCTCATTCAGCTCGTTTAAAGGAGGCTACTACGATAGTTGGGATGACATGGAAGATCGACTGAAGCCGTACCCATTTTACCATTACGCAGCTAAGAATTGGGGGCATCATGCTCGTGATTCATCGATCTCTGTCGACGAAATTATAGAGCATTTCATTCCTGGGACACAGCTCATGAAATCGGTCTGCGTACTCCTGGTCAGAGAATCATCAATATCATACATGAAGTATTGTCCAAACCCACCGAGGTCAACGTCGAGACTTCATATCGCGGCATATTTTGGACTTGAGAACATCGTTCAGAAGCTTCTTTTAACATGCTCTCAAGCAGATCTGACCGACGATTACAACAGAACTCCACTATCATATGCAGCTGAGCAGGGATATGAAACTGTCATTGAAGTATTGATCAACAATGGAGCTGATAAAGATTCACGGGGTACTGACAAATTCCAACATGAAGGAAGGACACCCTTATCCTTTGCTGCAGAGAAAGGTCACGAGGCTGCCGTTCTGACATTGATCAACCGGGAGGCATGCCTACACCTCGCGTGTGGTACCGTATTCGAGGGGGGATGGACGCCACTTTCATACGCTACTCGATGTGGGCATAAGGCTGTAGTGAAGCTGTTGTTAGAATCGGGTGCTGAGTTGGAATTCGACAACTCAGGGCGGACAGCCCTATCACATGCAGCGGAAAAGGGACACGAGGATATTGCAAGCCTCTTCCTGCAACGCGGAGCTGACCCTGATCTTCGTATGACTCGGTCTGAACATTTTGGACGAACAGCGCTTTCATTTGCTGCTCAAAATGGGCACCAAGACATTGTACAGTTGTTACTTAATGCGAGCACAAATGACTTTTTCTCTGCCGATCGAAGGGGGATCAGCCCCCTGTCATATGCTTCAATACGAGGCCATGAGTCTATTGTCGGTCTGTTACTCGACCAAGGGGCCAATCCAAATCCTCAACCACAGCCTATGGGCAAGTATCGGAGCTCACAGTCTCCGGATACACCTTTATCATTTGCTGCTTCAAACGGCCACGACGCCATTGTCCACCTACTATTAAAAAGGGGTGCCAATGTCGATTCTGGTAGAGAAAGAACGCCGTTGTCATTTGCAGCTGGAAATGGACACCCATCTGTTGTTGAGCTTCTGCTACAGCAGGATGCAATAGTGGACTCGAGGGCAGAGGGTGGTAATAGAAAACGTAGTGGGAGGACACCACTTTCATATGCGGCAAGTAATGGGCACCTTGATGTCGTCCGAATGCTACTTTATAAATGGAAAGCCAATATCGATGCTGCAGATGATAATGGCCGCACACCTCTTTCATATGCGGTAAGTAATGGGCACCTTGATGTTCTCCGAATGCTACTCTATGAATGGAATGCCGGTTCCGATGCTGCAGACGATGTTGGCCGTACACCTCTTTCATATGCTGCACAAGATGGGTACGCTGGCATTGTGCAGGAGTTGGTCAAAACAGGAGCCAATCTGGAGGCTAGGAGCACCAGCACTTACTGGGACCCAGGGCAAACCCCGCTGCATTTTGCGGTAAGATCTGGAGATTGTGAGACTGTTCGGGTATTGGTTGAGAGCGGAGCCGATGTTAACTCTGAGGACGATGAAGGACGAACACCATTCTTTTGGGCAATGCGTTCTGGTAGCACTAGATTGATTAGAACACTGCAGGGAAATAACGCTGCGAAAAGAGCACCCGATTTTAAACATTAGGGAGCGATTATTTCAGAGATCGGGTACTTAAGAAGAAGCTAAAGCAAATACATAAATAGATTGAAGGTTGTGTCATAAACTGGACTCGAGCGCAGAAGAAGTCAACCTGGCAGCCCGATTCTGATATGTGACATTGAAGGTATATAAACTATTATATAATAGATGCTACCGCCGCTTTCAAATTTCTTAGTTTTACACTGAAAGATTGATATCCAACATTCATCATTGCTTAAAATCGTAACTCGGGCTTACTGTGGTTAAGAGGATCTCAGCTGAATCAGATCCTCGCTACACTTTCCTTTGAAAGCAACCTTGGAGGGCAATCCAAACTAACCATCTCGGTCCTTGAAGTAAGGGATTGGAAGAGCTGGTCGATGGAGAGCAATGATTGCGATCAAGTCCCGCATGGTTGGCAGCAAGACTGGTCCCCGATATTGGCCATAATGCAGAGAGGCTTGTTTCAACAACAATATTATAATTCACCATGAGGGCCCAGGGGCTTCCAGCTCGAGATCCAGCTTGGTCTTCGGCATTCCGGTAGCTACTGAGAGCTCTGAGTAGCACTGGCGTGGCGAAATATTTGCTGTCCGACCCGAATGATGAAAAAGACGAGGATGGCCAGTGAAAGGAAGAGTCGGGAGATGTAGTTGACAAAGCTAATACGGCTGGACAGGATGAGCATCATCAGCCAAAGGAATAATTAGGGGGGGTGAAGATGGTGCCGACTGTTGAATGATGGTTGAGCATGTTGTGACGCAGAGATGAAGTTTTCTGTTCTTGATCGCGATGCCTGATATTCAAGAACGTCCTTGAAGTTTCGGACCACCCCTCGCATGCCACTCTGAGCGCGGGACGATCGTTCTTAGCGCATCCGTCGATACTGTACTGAGTTTGGTATTCCGTCATTCTCCTCATGATCTCGATTCAGGCCATCTCGTTTGCATTTTCGACATCCGTTTTTCTTGTGGTAACAATGGAGCCAAGACGTCAGTGAGCTTGCCTTGCAGTGGGTAGACGACATTCTGGCTGTGCCCGCAACCGCAGGGCTGAAAAGGACCACGAATCCGACTGGGGTCCTTCGCCCCTCCCTTCAGCTCATGCACCGTCACAAGAGGCTTGGACTGCAAGCTGGATTGTGCACATGAAGCCGTAAGGTTTGAGCAAGTCTCAGTGATGAGCACTGATGGTTGGCCCTTGGATCATTGGCTAGCTTGTGTCTGTATCCGCCGCTGTATCTGCCGCATGCTCTGCGGCAGAGGTAACGATGCTGGTGGTTGTGCGTGAGGCTGTACGGTTCCGAAAGGCCTCGTGCTCGCAGGAGAGACGCTTTTGGCGTACATCACTCTCGGAGGAAGAGGGGGCCAAGGTGCCGGGTCTCTTGGTTCCATATGAATCGAACGCACCATTGAGATCTTTGTCGTCAGGTAGGGGGTCGAGTGATGGTGCTTGCATAGCGGTCTTGATCGGGGGCGGGAAGTTGTGAGGTCCAAAGTCGAGTCGGGTTGCTTCTCGAACAGCAGCATCCTCTGGCATCTTTAAGACTGTGTGCGAAATGCGGAAGCATGGTTCCAGGCACTTTCACGACCGTAAGCGGGCAGCCCAGAGACAGTCACGACGGCGCCAAATATGCGCATCAGTCCTGGCCTTAAGCCTCGCGGCTGTGACCATCGTGCATGTGATGGCCGCCTGAGAAGAAGTGGCCTCACTCCCACACATAATCCTATCGTCGACCCGACCGCCGGAAGCTGCTACAGAAGAACGGTAATTGCGTCTCTGTCTCGGGACTATCGTTAGTTAGGACGAAGGGTGGCTGGATCGGCGGTGACTGACCTGTAGGCTTTGCGCTCGAAGGTCGATATGTTTGTAATTCCGAGAACGAATCACCGCACTACTTGAAGATTTACTCCCACCTCCTTCGCCACGTCATGTTCGTCGTCGGTTCCTAGGAGGCATCGCTGCCACAGTCCCTGGCTGCTTGCTGTCACAACAGGAACGTTTGACTTTCCACTACCGTTGAGACTCGTGATCGAATTGAACCTTGGTCACTTCGACGCTCAAACCGTTGGCATATTTGCGATTCCGAGAACGAGATATCGCATTGAGGATGTTTGACTTCCACTACGGTTGAGTCCGGCGATCGAATTGAACTCTCCGCCCCTTTGGCGGGTTACAAGAAGAGCGGATTGGTAAACATGGAATATCGGTGCTTAATAAGCTTAACAAGTGCGCAAAGTTCCGAGGTCGTCTAAGAGATACCGTGCAAGATTGATGCCAATGTCGGCTATACTAAAATCAGCAAGTGAATCTTCGCGAAGATACGAATTGGCAACACGGTATACCGCACGCACACTGACGGAACATCCCCCTCCTAGGCCTATAAGGTAATATACTGAACTATTATTTTGGTCTATTATCGGCTCTCGAGGTGTGCAATTAGATGGGAATTATGGATCGGTGGGGGGGGTTCGCATGGTGTTTCGGCGCAAATGGCGAAGCTCGGGTTGATGTCGCAGCAGGGATTTTCCATGACTTAGAGGGTTGGGTAAAGACTTGGTGGTCGGTACAGGATAGAAAGCCAGATGGCATCATCAGCTAACCGTAGAGGCGCAATGGGGCATGTCGAGGGAGGTTGCTACAGCCTGCAGCCGAGTAGACTCAAGCCATCACAGGCCTGTTGTTCACTGTGATTTGCAGGTGGCCTGACCGTTTCGGTTTCCTGCGTCGACAGTCGAGAGCTGTAGGGTCGATCGATCGGGGATTGGAGCCTTCTCGGCGCGTCGCTTACTCCTCCTGTGTTGCCAAGGGCTGTCGGCCCCTAATTAAGCGGAGTAAGTGACGTGATCGTAGTAGAATGCGGTTGAGATATTGCAAATGTGAGGGATAAGGGGAGGATGGTTGCAATAAGCATATCTTCGCTCAGATACAGAGCTTGTCGCGTCGAGGGTGCCACGGCGCGTGCTTGAGGGTGAGGCCAAACAAGATGATCATACGTACCGTCAGAGACGCAATTCAATGTAGTTCCATGGCGCGGCCTCAAGATAAGAGTCTCCGTGTGTCGCATACTGCAAAAGAAATCGGGTACGACGCGATTGACGAGAGCGCTGAAAATGGGCAATGACGTCGGTAAACAGAATCACACAGATCTCGACAGCTGCAGTCACGTGTTTGTGGATGCAAGACCGGAGCTTTTACCCCGCACTAAAGGTGTCTGCTAAGGTATACCCACGACCCCTGGTGTTTCCCGCGCACCAGTAAGTACCCTTTAGCAGTCTATTTTAATCGCCGGCCCCACTCACACCAGGTGCGACAGTTTTATCCTCATCTCAAAATTCAGCAGCTCAAAATGCTCGGCCGCTAACTACAGGGTAGATGAAGTTCAATTGTGCGATCGCAACAGCAACGAGTAAACAAGTCCTCCCTGACGGAATTCAGAGAGATGAGACTCCTGTGCCAAATGAAGTTCGCAAAGAAAGGTCATCCAAATGGTGATACCCCATAATTTTAAGGGCGTTGGACACGATTACGAAGATTGTCGCGAAACTGTAGATCTTTTGGCTGGGATTGTCACTCGCCAAAATTGACAGCAGCTCGCATTGAGGCCGGCGATTGATCGGATCAGAACGAGCAATTTGTGATCTCAAATGGCGCAGATTCCCTATCCTTTTTATCTATCTTTTATTCTGAGGTACGAAAGAGACTTGCACTTTCATGTTGTCTAGAGGGAAAATGAAGAGAACTTCCAAGACTCCCATACTAGCGATGTGACTTGCTTCGAGATCGCGCACAGTCCTCGGACAATGTCCACCGTCGAGATAATCACCGCCAACTGCACAGCCAGGACTTCAAGCCAGACCTAACATTCTTATAGCCCATCCGACGGAATGAGGCGAGGCATGGGATTGTGACCAAGCCGTGACTGTTCAATCCTGAGGACTTTGTTGGTCGGATCTTGGAAGGGATCTGAACGTGACGGCATTGCGGATGTTGAAGTTGTGGCTTTAGAAGACACCTCATTCCTTACCAATTTTAGCAAAGCCAGGAACCACAAAAGGAAACTTCGTAGAATAGCACTGCTTGATGGGAAGCGGTTCTGAGAAGGACTTGCTGACCGAAATCGACATGTTGATGCTCCAGGTGGTCAGGCCCTCAATATGTGTCTCTCGGTAATGGCGACTGGTGATACCGATGTTTGGGAGCACGTAGAACTGCAGAACTATTCGCGCTTGGGAGATCCAATACCTTTTGTCTATATTACCAGGGCGAATTCTTATCCGTCGTGGAGATAGCGCCCATCTCAGCGTCTCCACCATCCTCGTAAAGCTGACCAATGTTCTAGTCCAGTGACAGGTTTCTGCCAATTTGGCTATATCGCCGTCGGTACGCGACATAGAAGCATGAGTGACAGAGTGAGGAGATGGTGATTCTATGCGAGGCGGGAGACAGGTAGATCCTAAAGACGCAAAGGTCTTCATCAATATGGGGGCTCCTCCAGAAAGGTTGGGAAAGGAGATGCAACTGCATCGTTTCGGTCTAACGCAGTCGAGTTCTTGATGTTCATCCACATGCTATCCCATGGACCTGATCAATGTACAATGGCCTACCAATAACCAAGAGGGAAGACATGGTATGGCCAGCCCGTAGAAGAGCACTAACTGATGGTTCATATCTGGCGGTAGGGATCGCTGGATAGTACACTAGTTAACCTTACTACAACTGACGAGATCGGGTATCGAAACAACAATTGAAGTTATGCGTTACTGTCTATTCGCGTTTCATTCATCGCACAAGACAAAGGATCAAATCCCAGCACTCAATCCCAGCTTCACGATAAGGTTCGGCCCGTTGAAATTTCTCCTAGCTGGCCCTAGATCAAACGAATCACGAAGCACCTTTAGTCCGGAAAGAGTAATACTGAACCCTGATGGGTGGATTGCTGAGGTTTAGCGAGCGGCGTAGGTGTGGAGAGAACTGATCAGCCTGATGTACAGATTAGCACAATCGCTGCGTGCTTATCCAATAATCACACTATAGTATAATAAGCAGAAAGTTTACTATTACGATACTGTATACTCTTGTCCCTTTCTTATATCGATTCAGCCTCTTGCCTGGCTCTCGCTCTTTGCTCGCAGGGCACGTATCTGGGCACGTATCTTATCCCAGCCGAATGGCTACACCATGCAGGTCTGTCGTCAGGTGCTGTGAATCGCTTGACTGTAAAATATGGGGGTATTTTCACTATTTGTCAGGGCAAAACTCCTGTAGATGTAGATATTGTCTTCGTTTACGGCCTCGGTGGCCAAATGACAAAGACTTAGACTAAACAAACGGAGCCTCTACAACTACCAAGGCGTGGAACCTTGCCAGGAGTTTTCTCGCGCTTTTGGGACTCTGGGTTAGATTTTTCCGAGCCTGTATTACCTATGCTAATTACAGAAACCGAGGAAGAAGACTGATACTGGCCTCAGATGCCGCCGCCCCTGGACTTCCATAATCCTCGTATTTTGACGTACGGACGAATCAACCGTCACGCACTCCCTTCATGAAAAGCTAGGTAACTAAATTATTGTAAGCTATACCTGGTCGAGACATTGAGAACAGCCTGACCGTCCAAAGGAAAGGTGATGAGAGTCGACGAGTGATCCTTGTTGCAAGCTGGATGGGTGATCTAGTTGTTAGATCTGTGACAGTTCTCTTTGCAATTATCGCTGCGTTTCCAATTCAGATTAGTGCTTGATCCGGTCGCAAAGAGCCACGGACAAAGGGGCGCTTTGTAGAGCTATCTTCTCTCGACAATTGCCGTACTATTCTCTGGGACCCCCTATAGAGGTTCTGACTAGGCGAAACTTGGCAAATTAGCGCTTGTCATTCCAATGCACAGGGGCAATCTCGACCAGCTTAAGCCCAACAACAGGGTAATCTATGAGTTCGATAACAGGTTTGTCCCACTTCTTCAAGGCTTCTGGATATCGGCATGTTTCCTCCTTTCAAGAGCAAAAGCAACCTTGGCCCTTGAGAAGCAGGGACTTCAGATCTGCGCAGCAAGTCGTCCAGAGAACGAACTTAACTGACCTTGCATAGATGCTCTTCATTAAAGACTCTAGCCTATACGAAGAACGACATAAATAACCTCATCACAGCCAGGTTGAGTCCTCCTTCTCTCGACTGGTATCAGGCACCAGGTAACTAACCATTCGGTCGTGCGATTCATCCGCTGAAGCATTGTCAATAAGGCCAAAGGTGAGCTTATCTGGTTCGAACTGGTAATTAAGGATGTTTTCAATCGCTTATTCACAGGCGTGCACCTGGTATAGATCAAGGAAGACATCAAGAGGCTGCTCAAAGGTGAAAATAGTCAGCTCGATGAGCTCTTTTTACTTGTGTTGCAGAGGACCCCTAAAAGCACCAGACACCAGACCTACGCGATCCTCAAGGTCATGTTGAAGCCGTGACAGATCATGATGGTTCTTACCATAGGGATTCTTCTTAGTCTCGTATAGGATAAAGATGAGGTGCAGTGGTATGGACCTAAGAGCAAGACGATGACCTATTCCCAGAGGCATGACGGGATGTAAGCAAGTATTTGAGGGTGCAGTAGGAGATTCGGACCATGAGGGAGCACTTCTACAGGTCGCGGGATCTGAATCTTCACCGGGATGGGGAATGAATCACGAGACAGACAATATCTCGCACTCAGCTGGAACTGCTAAGCTCTCGAGTAGAACGTAGAATCCTCCCGCCAGACGGTTCTCTAAATAGATTGACGCACAATCACGACCTTCAGACTACCCTTCTTGGCTGCGCCAGCAATGCTAATACTGTGCCTGACAATGACCACGGCGCACCTTCATCTTGTTGATGCCTTTTTGAGGGTCTCGGAGGATCAGTGGAATGGATGACCAAACTGCATGGAGATCACCATGAAACATGCCGGCTGCAGCTTTGAGCTGGCTTTAGGAGATAAACTTCCAGGCTCATGACTGTGCGTGTACTAAGAGCAGGTTTATCCCTTGGTCTCTCCACTTGTGTTTGTTCGAACTGTTGAGACGGTACCAATCCCTGTGATAGATGTGAGGGCTACGCAAGGTGAGGGGGTATGCTTTCTTAAGAGATTGTACATGCTGCTCTTATGCTGACTGTCGGGCTGCTTTACATCTGTCAGTTGCAAGGCATTAACTCCCAGCCAACTTCAACTTACCTTATTACCCGTCTGATCACCTATACCAAGGTGCTTGTTGGGCACCATCTCCTTCTTGCGCCTCGAGGTAGACTCCTTATGGATTAATTGGCGCAACCTTTTATTCCAGAGGAGGTGAGTTAGATTTGGGCGTTTTTTCTCCGAGGAGATAGTGGAAACCTTAGATGGAAAGGTCTTCGGAGTTAGGGACCGCGCGATCTGATGTCCCGAAGATGGCAACGAACGATCTTGACTCCCCAGGTCCGGGCCATGAATTCGGGGCCTTTCAATGTACAAGTTGGTTCATTTCGGAATCCGCAATAGATACCGTTATTGACTCTTCCGAAACAGATACTTCCCGGCTCAGCCTTTACGCCGACACCTACGTCCAAGGATCGCCAATGGCCACCATTTAATGCATGAGCGACCTTGCATGAGTGTACAAAAGCAGTTTGCACCTACTACTGAGCCGGGCTAACCCATCCCATGGCCTCGGTGAAGTGACTACGCAATGCGAACAGCGTTGGCAGAAAAAGTCCTGCTTGGACACGGCGACTGTTATTACATGACGCGTTGGAAGATATGATCTTGGTGCTTATAAGAGAGCTGTCATCTTTTTATCGGTCATGTCCTGTATTTGTAATGAATAGAAAGCTCAGTTATCAGATTGACTCTGATCGTGATCATTGTCCTTTGAACTTCCCGCCTCATTATCATCTGTGAGATCCACAGCCAACCGCATCAAGAGAGGACCTCGTTGGTGCGTTGACATGGCTTGTGTTCTGAGATGGGTACGCGGTCAACGGAAGAATGTGTCGACATTGGGAAACAGCTGCTTTTTAGAAATTGAGTAATACATGAATAATTTTCTAGCGCTGCAGCTGAAAAGAATTTTAAGCATTCGAACCGATCAATACGACAAGTAGAAATTCCGTTGCAATGCTTCAGTAATGATGACGAGGATGATGGTGAAGATAAATGACGTTACAGGGCCCTTTCGCTGTAAAGTCCCCTGTAAATTTCCCGCCTCAAAACTGCCCCAGGTCAGGATATTTCTCTCCTTGGCTCCAGTTCCTCACCCCTCAACTATTACTTTATATTTCGTGCCAATCTATGGGGCTTGGCCTTACCGCTTAATAGACTATCGGATGGATATACCAGACATCGACTGCGCAAACACGTTTCTCCTCTGCAGCGAGCATGGCTGGACATTGGTCAGGGTCCGCGTCGCGTCGAGCTGTTTTCGGGATTCTCTCATCCGAACCTTGGTAACTTTCCCACGTTGATATCCTCCCACCGACAAGCGCGTACAAGGCTCTGCGGCATATCAAATGTTGCCTGACGCGTCTAATCACTGTTGACTCTCTGCGGCAGGCGACAAACTATACAAAACACATAGAAATGCTTGCAAGAACCGCCGCTCCGACTGTACGATCCGACCCCGACCCCGAACCGCCGCCCGTTCGACGCGAACTTAGCCGCAATAACTACCGTCCTGCGCCGCTATCGCAGTCGCCAATACCCCCATAATGCTTCATGGACAAAAGTACGCCATCTTCCGACATGCCCAGAACCACAGCAACCCACCGAAGACTTGCTACAAACCTGCCTTTAGACCAACAAACTGAACAATCTTGAGCCCGCGGTACCCAACCGGCAGCTTCGCTTCACTTCCGCCGCAAGTGGCGGATTGGGATCCCTCAAGCCTGCAAGAACCATCGCCCGAGCGACGACGACAGTCTCAGCGACACGAACCGCGGCCGCATCGACCGCTATAGAGCTAATACCCCTGATAATGCTTTGCGGACCAAACCATGTGCGATCTTCGTTTAGTGACAGCGGAAGCTTGTCATGAGCCTGCGTATGACCAAGGAATCTCGCGCTTGTGAACCGCAAAACTGTGCCACTGCATTTAAACGTTGTCTCACGCTTCTCCCACCACGAGCCCAAGCTCCTTTGCAAAGAAGGGAGCCCAGACCAGTCTATCCATATCTACGGCCAGCGTCACACCAACTCAAGTGCTTAACATGAGTTGCTCTCCGTGACTGCTCGCGCTTTACGGCCTAATCTCTCCCATTTCAGCCTCTACGACGCTCGCTTGTCTCCGTTGTAGCTGTCACGTGTAAAACTTGCTAAGGCTCCCAGCCTCAGCCCGAGTACGCTGTTCAGGGTTTGGCAGCTTTTCTGCTGGTTCTTCGTATTAGTAGTAATGATCGTACCCCGGGTTACTTGGAAGCAAGCCCGGAAACGATTTGAGCGACGAAAAGGACCTGACCTGCCGAGAGGTTACAAGAATGTGCCATATAACTTTCCATTCACCACCATCGATCAGGTACAGTTAGTGTCCGACTGATTAATAGTTATGAGCTTAGGCATCCTCTTGTTAGTACATTGTGTCTTTGAAGGGACGATCGGGTTTGTCTTCAATGGTGTCGTTACCACAGTGTTGTGTAAGATCAGTGTTAGGCCTGAAGCCGCAACCTGTATCTACAACTCACTTTCTATCCCCACACTGGTGTCAATACAGCAAATGATGTTTATTCCCACTCGGCCTTCAGGTACCCACCTGCCTGTGGATAAAAGACATAAATACAGCATGAACGCCCACTTCCAAGTGCTCCATTTTCGCAACCTCACTCATTTCAGCGACAATGGCTTCCACAAAGCGTTTAATCCTGCCCAAGCTGCCGACAGAATTACTCGACACAGTCTTCGCACATCTGCAAAGCGACGATATCAAGAATCTACGCGCAACATGCTCGACACTGGCAAAGCTCATCCCTTTGAGCTTTGATCGCGTTTTTGTCTCAGCCAACTCTCTTAATCTCAAAGTATTCCACGCAATTGCAGATGATGAGACTCTCCGGTACCAAGTCACTGAGATTGTATGGGACGATGCACGCTTGACCACAGGACCAGAATTAGAAGAAGATCGAATGCAGTATGAAGAAGATGGCGTCGACCCGGATGACGTGACCGACAACGGGTGTCCCCTTTGGTTCGAAAAGGGTCGCTCTGATTATATAAATCCTGGGTCACACAGGCTTCCCGATTACCTTATGGGCATTAAAGAGTCCTGGGCCTATTATCAACAACTACTCCAAGATCAGCATCAGGTTCTCGCGTCTGATGCAGACATTAAGGCTTTCAAGTATGGCCTACAGCGATTTCCCTCGCTCAAGCGAGTGACCATCACACCCTCAACCCATGGGAGAATACGAAACCCACTCTACAGAACACCTATGATCAGGGCGTTTCCTCGCGGGTTCGATTACCCTATGCCTACAGCATGGCCTATCAATGAACTATTAGCGCCAGTCGATGTGCTCCCGTGGGTGTCAGAGGATGACAGTCCCCATCAGGAGATGTACGGTACTGATTGTACTGTTGAGGCCTATAGGGCTAAATGGCGTGGCTATCGGGTAGTGATTCGAGCCCTGGCGGAACATGATGATCATCATATCACCGAACTTTATATCGGGGGCAATGAGGTTGGAAGCGGACTGAACTGCCGGATCTTCGATCAGCGCTGTGTTGAGTATGACGATCTGGTAACCTTGCTAAAGCGTCCTGGCTTCCGATACCTTAGCCTTGACCTTTTTACAGGCCTTCTCGAACGCGAGGACTGGGAGTCATATAAGAGTGGACTTCTGTATGATGCTCTGGCTCAAGCTAAAGATCTCGAGCACATGTGCTTACGCAGCACCATGGACATCACCGGCGGATCAAGTGAACAACTTGACTGGGAAGAAATCGAGAACTACGTCTTTCCGCTTCGGACTATCTTTCCTATTGATCAGTGGCCACGGCTTTGTCATTTCGGAATCTCTCGTATGCTCGTACAACTCGATGACTTGATGGAGCTTCTTTCCGCTTTGCCACCAACTTTACGATCCGTGGAGTTGAGTAACTTGGCCTGGGGAAGTTTGACTCATCGGACGAGAGAGTTGCTGCCTAATATGCGTGATGTCCTGGACTGGCGGTCAAGGCCTATTGAAGAAAGGCCCAAGGTACACATGGTCGTTTCCGGGGCAGCATGTGGCGATGGAGACAAGGACGGATGGTATGTCGAGATTGACGACCTTGTCTATTCGTTTATATATGGAGAGGGAAAGAACCCGTTCACTGAACATCGAGACATAATATATCCTTGGGAAGGAGGCGTTAGGCGGGATATATTTAACCCTGGTTTCAAAGTGCCACATACTGACAAGAATTTCTATTTAGTAACTATGTAAAGTAGAAACAAGCATGATTATTTAGTCGCTCATCATAGAAAGAATTATATTATATAAGATCATGAAACCAAACACATGAGGATTTGTAATACAGCATTGAGGCTTGTCTTGATTTGGTCTAACTGTCGCTTTCTGAGTACATGCTCCTCCAATAAGCTAAGTTAATGTCCCCTCCTTGATACAGAAATTAATGTCTAAACACCAATGCAGACATTGTAATCTGGCTGGAGCGCAGAACAATCATTTTTAACGGCAGGGTTCCACTTGTAGAAATCGTCAAGTTTAATCTTGTTGGCATTCGCAATGGCCCAACAGCCGTCACCCTTCTTCACTTTGTAAAACGCCTTGCAGCCCTTAACCATACCAGCCTGTGTTGGGGTTGGTGTAGCGATACCGCCCGAGGTCGAAGTTTTGCTTGTGGGAGATGAGACTGACGTCTGACTGGCTTTGACGCCGATACAAACGTAGTAGTTAGGCTGTAGCGCAGAGCAATCAGTTTTAACAGCAGGATTCCATTTATAGAAATCGTCAAGGTTGATCTTCTTGGCATTTGATATGGCCCAGCAGCCATCACCAGCTTGGACCTTGTAGAAGCTGTTGCAGTTCGACACCATCCCAGTCTGAATAGGTGACGGCGTAGCAGACGCGGTGTTCGTAGCAGAGGCGCCCGTACTTCCGGATTTAGCAGTGGTAGTTGCGGAGATGACGGGGACTGAATCATCAACACCTGGAGCATCGCCATCTGGCCAAATAGAGACGCAATACCATGTACACATTGCGAGCCCAGTGCAGTCTTTTCCAATAGTTGGATTCATGGAATAGAACTGTGTAATATCGAGAAAGTATTGGGCCATAATGTTTTCGCACGTGTTATAAGACATAACCTGATGGTATCGTGTACAGTTCGCTGGAGTTCCTGCCGCTAGAGGGGTAGGCGGCTGAAAATCCTCATCCGGCGCTACATAAGTCGTTGGTCAGTATCACAGAGAATATCGCTGATTCTGAGACGGTAGGGCGAAGCTTACTTGGCGTAGGAGAGGCTAACATTACACAATACGATGAGTTGGCCGAGAGGGTGCATGGGTAGGTATATGGGTTTGCGACAGCCTTGGCTGTTATTGCTGCAAATGTCTCTGCGTCCTTTGACTCTGCCAATGATGGATTCCAAAGGATAAAATCCTGGCGGTTGTTAGATCTAGTATGCAATATATTGTGAGGGATAGTTGTTTCAGACATGAACATACCTGCGGGGATTGGTCCCAAATATTGCATAAACTCCAGCAGTTGGCAACAGGGTTATCCGTGATGTTCGCAATGTAAGTATATCTATAGAGAGGTCAGCCGTGACACATGTATGAACTCGGAATGCGCGGGCCTACTCGACACAATCTTTGCGAGTCCCGTTGGCAATGGGAATCACTGCAAGCGCAGGCTTATTTGTCTTTACTGGTGGATTAGGTAGTGTTGTTGCCGACATTGGCACGATTGGCGGTCTCGTGGAGGAACCATCGTATCCGGGGTAGGTAGAGATGTAACCGACAGGTTGGACACAGTAATAGACGTCGGCCAGCAGGTTGGTACAATTCGAGAAGAGCTCTGGGTTCAGAAACAGCCTGTAAAGATACAAGTCAGTCCAAGAAGTGGCGAAACAGCCCGGGAGGAATGCCTTACAAGTCCTTCCGTGTGATGGTGTTGTTTGTGGCGATAACAGAGCAATCATCGCCGAGAGCAACCTTGTACCACATACCACAATGGGTATTGGTACCCTGTCCAGTGGGAGAAGGTATGGGACTATGCACTTGTCAGTATATATATTACAATGGTCATAGTTTCACATACGCTTCCGTGGTATACAAAGTAGGCACTGGCTTTGAGGTGGTAGGAAGTGCAAAGTTACCAAGCGGATTGCTGATACAGATCTTCCCATCCTTTTGCTTGCTCAAGTTTCTGCGCATATACTTAGCGTTCGAAAATATTAAAGTCAACGCTGATTATTCCTGATGCTTACCCGCAAGTGACATCGAGGGTTGGATTCCATGAAAGAAGTTGCGCGTAAGTGACCTTGTTCGCTTTGGCAATGGTGCGGCAGGTGTCCTTCTGTTGAACCGTGTACTGCTTACAGGAATTAGCTGCTGCGACAAGGCTCGACAACACCCCCGCAAGAATCGCCGGATAGAAAAGAGTAGGCTTCATTTTGTAACCAGTCAGTAAAAGCGTGGCTAGTTGAGAACGAAGCAAGGAATTCTGTCGTGGGATAGATATGAGAACTCTGGATCTTTCTGAGGATGGAAAGTATGCGGCTCGAGCCAAAACTAAGCTTGTTCAAAAGCTTTGGCAGGGGGGGTGTACGTTAAAGTGGAAGATGAAGGACCGAGTCATGCTAACAAGGCATGGTAACGCAAGGTTAGAGTGAGCGATTTAGCTTGAAACTACCCATTATTCACAAATGCAGGCACTAGCCTCAATACAGATTCCCGAGGCTGTTCTGCAAAAGTGCCATTCAGACGTAGGGACGACATTGACAATGCATATCCACCTCCCTCGGGCTCTCGGTCGACGGTTAAACGGCAACGTATGCCAAGACGATGAGCCGCCGCCAGTTCATGTTTATTGGAAACGCAATCTACAGGACCGCAGTTGCTCCAGATAATTTTAGTCAACTCATGCCTGTTTCTTTCGAATCCATTTGCCGACTTATCCGACGGTGATCAAGTGTTCCGACTGGCCTGACTCTATCGCATCTTGTCCGTGTGAAGTCCTCGTCAAGGGCGCCTGGGTATTGAAATCTTGTCAGACAACATTTGTTCCCGCCCGTAGCTCTTATTTAAACTCTTCTTCTGTTCAGAATGAAATGTTTATGTAGCAACTCTAAACACTCTTTTGGTACAGCCAGTTTCCTACTATGATCATGGCAGCTTCCAGGAAGCCGCCAGCACTCCTTGCCTATCTTTGCCTTTTGTCACTCAATGTTCTTTTATTTCCCTCGCTTTGCTTTTCAGTCGATGTTGAGCATGTTGAGTCTATCTTTTTGAGGTCTCTCGTGCCCCGAGAGCTCAGCGCAGCAGCCGGTGCCTCCGGTACTGGAGACTTCAGTTGCGGTCCAACCAAGCCCTGTTCCAACAAGGCTTGTTGTGGCAAAGATGGCTGGTGTGGTTTCGGAGACAAGTACTGCGGCAAAGGCTGTCAATCTCATTGTGACGCCAAAGCCGATTGTGGTGCCAACGCTGCCAAACCAGGTCAAACTTGTCCTCTAAACGTCTGTTGTTCTGAGTTCGGGTTCTGCGGCACCACGTCCGAGTTCTGCGGCAAGACTTGCCAGTCCAACTGTGCACAGCCTAAGCCCAAGTCATCCCCTTCTAACGTTCGCAAACGTGTCGTTGGATACTGGGAGGCTTGGAACGATCAACATGCCTGCGGTACGATGGGCGTGGGTGAGATTCCCGTGAACTATCTTACACATCTGATTGTATCGTTTGGATACATTGACTCGAACTTCCGAATTACCAATATGGATGGTCTCAGTTCAGATGTCTATCGGAGTGTCGGTGAGATCAAGGCCCAGAACCCAGGTCTTAAGATTATGATTGCCTTGGGAGGTTGGACATTCAATGATCCCGGCCCTTGGCAGAGCGTCTTTCCTACCATGGTATCCAGTCAAGCAAATCGTGCAACATTTATCAAGAATCTCCTGGGATTCTTGTCGGAATATGGTTATGACGGAGTTGGTAAGTAAAAGCTCTTGTCATCGTTTCCTTGCTTAGAGATATCCTTTGCTAATTATATTATCTTGACAGACTTCGGTATTTCTCATCTTCTTTACTTCCATGCCTCAGTTCGGAAATGGGGGTATAATTACCCCAACAGTACTAACTTTTCGCAGATTGGGAGTATCCCGGAGCTAAAGACCGCGGTGGCTCTGATGCAGATGGCGTCAACTTTACTGCCATGCTTAAAGAACTTCGTCAAGCTATTACAGCTAGTGGCCGTAATTATATCACGACTTTCACCGCCCCAACCTCATACTGGTACCTCCGTCACTTCGACATTAAGAACATGTCCGAGCAGGTTGATTGGATCAACCTCATGTCTTATGATCTTCACGGCGTTTGGGACGGAGATAACCCCATCGGTAAACATGTTCTCTCCCATACTAATCTGACTGAGATCGACCTTGCTCTCGACTTGGTAAGTAACCCAGACCGAGGAACACTCATTCACAGCGCACTGCTAATTGATAACAGTTCTGGCGCACTAACGTTGAGCCATCGAAAATTGTTATGGGCTTAGGTTTCTACGGGCGTTCATTTACTCTTGCTTCAAGCTCTTGTTGGAAGCCAGGTTGTGCCTTCACTGGTCCTGGTGCTGCTGGACCTTGTACCAATACGGCGGGAATCTTGTCTTATAGAGGTAAGATGAACCAATATTTTGAGCGAAAAGAACTTAGCAAGCTAATATGTTTTGGACTTCAGAAATCAAGGACATTTTTGAAAAAAACTGACGCCACATCATACCTGGACAAAGAAGCAGCTTGTCGGTATCTGGTGTACGACGATAATAGCTGGATTTCGTGAGTACCCGGTTCATATCAATGCCACAGTCACTAACACGGCGCTAGTTATGATGACCCATCCACCATTCAGGCCAAGATCGACTATGCTAACAAGATGGGACTCTCTGGAGTGATGATCTGGGCCATTGATCTTGACGACAGCAGTCTTGAGTCACTCCGCGCCGTGTCAGATTCCTCGTTACTCGACAGCGTAGAAGGCACATTCGACCTGGTCGATCTGGATAAGCTGTTCCCTAAGGAATATCTCCCTGCTTCTGGCAGCAAGCCAAGTTACGGTTTAGTAACATTCGGCGATGCTACCGGAACTGATCCTGCCGCATCTGGCTTTGGCTTCCTTCTTGTGGCAGGTGACTCTCATGTCGTCAGTAGTCTCCGAAAACGAGACGGCGAACCTGAACCATTTGTCTTCCTTGAATGTCCTGAAGATGTACTAGACCTTCCTAAGGATACTCCTCGTACTGCGCGTGTCACGTGTGTCAGTGGTGATCTGGAAGGATGCTATCGGATCATGGAACGTGGTGTCGAAGGCACCGTTGTCGAGATGCCTGACAGCGTATGTATCCCACTAACCATGGACATCAAATCGACTAACCAACCATACATAGTGTGCTTCAGGCCAACTTGTTAGAGCCATATCCCTTACAGCCTCCAAAAGTAAGACCTTTACCCCATATCCCTTATCCCAGCCATCTAATGCATCGCAGACCAATCCATGCCTCATGCATACTCTCAACACCAACGTTTCTCACAGGTTTTCGACTTCATTTTTGATTTCAACTTCAAACTAATGCGTCGCGATTCTAATAACACCAGTATCCGCATGGATTATTCCAACACCCCGGGGTACTGGAATCAGCTGGTTGACAGAGCTGGCATTCAATCTAGGGACTTGAAGCATCTTGGCGAACGATTCTTTGCACCAACGGACCTGGAATGGAACTTGGCTTACGACGACGGCAACAAGTATACCTTTAGTCCTGAGGAAGCAGCTAAGGTCAAGAAAGATGTTAGTGCACCTCTGTACTGGCAAACTGTTGATAATTGCGACATTGACGGTGCCGCCTACAATGAGGGCTTTGGGGCCTATGTCAATGGCGAAATTGACGCTCAATTCTACTACGGATTTTCCTTGATTGTAAGCTCTATACCCTCTGCCTTCATAAGTTACCGAATGCGTGTCTAAGTCTTTTACAGGGTACGGAAAAGGGCGGAGTTTGGGACGCGAGACAATCCCATGGATTCCTTCAAGTCCGAGGCCAAAGCGACATGACCTTCGGCATTGGCGGCATTGGCGACGTTGACGTGGCGAAAGCACGAAAGGGAAACCCTGCCCAAGAGGACACTGATGGCAAAGTCAGCCTCAGAGGCAATGTTATCATGGCAGGCCAATCTGGTGGCTTGGTTTCTTTTCAGCCGTACTACAAAGTAACGTACAGCCTGGGCACTTTCAACGGCAGTGATCGAGACCCTGCAAACTCTGCAGCGTCTTTCAATGGGCGCCTCAACGCTCGCGTTGTCTCTGACTTTGGCAAGTTCCAGGCAGACTTCCCTTGGAAAGGCGATCACAAAGACCCGGATAAGTTTTCGAACAAGCTCAACAAGGCCCAGTTTCAGTTGGGAAACGACAATGTTCTTTACAGCTCTTCATCGGACGGTGGCGCGATTACTATCGGTAGTCAGGTCACATTCGGCCTGAGCATCGAATTCTTGCTTTATAAGGACCTCTTCCGTAGCAAAACCGGATTTCCAGAGGTGAGCAAAAGTCTTCCACTTCCTCTTTTCAGAAACAGAACCCGTTGAGGCCTCTAACGTTACTGTAGCTCTCTCTCTCGTACAACACCTTGTCAACATTCAGCTTTAGCCCGGGTAAGAAAGGCTCTGATGAATCATGTGCTCAGTACGAGCTTTCGTAAGTTGAATTCCCTGTTTCTCAGTTGACTCTACTCTAACGTGGAACCTAGAACCAATATCGTTCAATTAACAACCAATGAGTAAATCTCTCCATCCACGGCATGCTTTTGGCGCTTTGTGTATTGAAACTAACCAAGTCCTTCTCTGTAGGGAGTCCATTGGTTGGACTGCGGAAATGGGCGACGGTATTCTAGTTCAAGAGACGGTAAGCTATACCTTCTAGTCCTTCTATACACTCCTCTGACATTCCTATAGCAAGGGCCGAAGGATGGAGCACAATGCTTCAAGAATGGCGGGAGCTCTTCATCATCGAACTTGAAGCGCGCATCAACTCTCTTATCGTCTGACCAGGACTTTAATGAGACCATCCCGGGTGAAGAATTTGAGCTGAACTCTCTTGCTCGTCGACAAGCCGGCCGCATGCCTGGTTGGGGTCTAGATACCGGAGAGGACTTGACCAAGCGTATGATTGGTATGGACGATCAAATTGGTAATCGCAGGACAAAGTTTGACTGCGTCGACTGTGAAAGGTGCAATGACGAAGACGAGGAGTCGAAAGACTTCTGCTGCGGCTGTGTGAACATGGAATTCAAGTACGGTTTCAGCGATATTCCTTCATGCGCCGACTGCGACTTCGACGAGTCCGGCATGCCTTGGCGCCAGGAAGTCATGGCCTCCATCAATCTTGGCAAACGGGATGTAGCAGATGAGAACGAAGCTGAAGACAGCACGAACACCACGCTAGTACACATGTTGCATCCTCGAAAGTCTGGAGAAGCCAGCAAATTGGTTAAGCACGTCAGAATCTGCTCTGACCTCTTGGGAACCCAGGGTATGATTGGACTCGGATCCCCTTATTGGTATCCGGCGTTCCCTAAGAATCCTAAATGGCCTTGGGACGGGATCGAAGGCGGGAAGTGGGATTCCGTTTCGCGATACTGGGGAAATTCCTCTTTTGTATGCGACAATTGGGGAATCACTTCTCTGCCGAAAGCCGATACTATCTGGGTTGATGTCAAGGGTGTGAAGCAACAATTCCGAGCTGGTTACCAGAGTAAGTTGTCTAACATAAGTGCAAGGGAAAGCCATACACTAATATCAAGACAGCTGAGCATGTATTCGAGGGACAAATCATAGGAAGATTCTTTTCTGAATGGCTTGATAAAGGCTTCTTTAACAAACAGGAACCTATGCCAGCAAATCCCACACCAAAGGCACCATGTTCTTGGACTGACCAATGGATTATGACCCCTAAGGCGAACCCGAAGTGGGAGCTCATAATTAAGGGGGCGCCTAATACTCCGGTATCGTTTGCGCGAATTCTTCTATCAGAGCTAGGCAGTGAAGCACATCTTGACCGATTGACACTTTTACAATCTAGGTTGAATCGTAAGAAAGGAAACGTGAGTAGCTGCTATCTTTCTTTCTATCTCAACCTTGATCATCGCCACAACCGTCTGACTTGTAACTTCAGTTCTTCACCAGCAGCGAACCAACTGCTCCCAAAGCATATTCGAACATGAATGGAGATGATCAACTTCAAGAGGTCAAAGAACTAGGTACTGTTACTCCATCTATCCTCTACACTCTCATGATCCCACAAGCATTTCTTCGCGCCTGAGGTAGTCACCCTTTCCTAACGCCTTGCTCTAGGATTGGTGTTTAACTACATGAACAACAAAGAAGTATGGGCGAAGTTCTGCGTCGTTTATGAAGCCATCTATGACCACATGGGCGAATTCGACACTTGGTACGCGGCACAAACAAATACCGGCGGCGTCACGGCTCCCAATCTGCAAAAAGAATGGAAAGAGTTCAATCGCGAATTACTCGACAGTATAGTCCGAAGGTCAAGAGTAAGTTTGAAGCGGATGTATAACGAAAGAAAGTAAGTTATGAGAATCTGACAAGAGTAGTATAAGTTACGCCTGTGTTACCTTTTATGCAGCTGGCTAATTAAGTATATCTTATAGTTGCTTTGCTCTCGGATGCTATACATCTCCGAAGTTCGCGAAGATGTGGTTACAGAACTACTGGATCAACTACGGACAGATCAAGTTCTCCAACACCTGCAACAACATGGACGCGTCAAAAGCTTAATAGTCGTGCCGCTGGGATTATTCCCCTCCACGGCGAATGTTCACTACTGTAGTTTCTGGGATTATTACACATATATCATAAAAAGGCATTGGAGGAATTCATAGAAAAAAGGCAAAGTACATAAGGCCCAGCCGCAGATAACATGGAGCGAGAAAAGATCTGTAAAGCAGATGTAAAGCACGCATATCTGCTCTGGATCTGTACTGTAGTGAGTAGCTTCATTACTAGGCATATTGGACTTGGATAAATTTAACACCTCGGGAAATTACCACTTGTATTCGCCATGGAAAGTGAGCATGTTGTGTCGAGTGACGTGAGATCTGGCCCCCTTTCTACGAGCATCCTTGTCTAGGACTAATACGCGGACGTTCCAAGTGTTCTTGAGCCATCACATCGAAGGTTCTACCCAAATTCTCGATGCTAGGCGGGTTGTATTCGGTCCCAGATGTCATGCCTTTCTTATCCTTCTCTGCCATTCTGGTCGGGAGGTGATTTAGAGGACCACGACTGAATGCCTGTGGAATTGCTCAGCTTGCGGGATGGCTACGCTTGGGAGCGACTCCTACGTAGATGTCAGCATGTCGCTGATCGTTTTTTGCTGCCAAGGCGAAGAATGATGGTCGAGAGGCGGGAGGTAGTTAGGAAGGATACCTTAGAGATCGCGAGGGTTGTTCGCCTTCTACTGTCGATCCTGATGACAACGTTACGCCAGGGCTCCAAAGATGAATACTTTTGATCAAAGTGGCGGCGCATCGGCGACAGTCGTATTGGGCTTGCGCGTGCCCAAGCGACGAAGCAGAACTCGATCTGAAGTTGTCGTGGTGTAGAGTTCTACTGGTTGGTATCCATCACGGCCCTCATTTCGTGGGAAATCGGCAAGCTGCATGGCGGCTTCAACACTGTTGACTGCCAACTTGTTGGAAACGGTGCATTACGTCTGAAGGATGTTCGCTTCTGAATCTGGATTCCTTTGGCGGTCGAATTGGCTATCCCTCCTACGCTTACCGATCTTGGTTATTGTCCGCTTCACATTGCTGTCTTGTCTGTTGCTTTCTGATGGAGGGTGTTAGCGACTTCTTGATCCTGGGTTTACCGTTATTGTCAGCTCCCCTCTGGTCTGCCATGGATTTGACTGAATGGGATGTGCAATAGTCCGATAATCTTGAGTATTGTCGCGGGCGGATTGGTTGAGATGCACCCTGTATCGCAGTTGGTGGGCAAAATGACTCCTCATTGCCGTTTCATTTAGAGATCATACTGTGAAGGTGAATCAGGCTCAGCTGAGCCTGGGGATCATAAAATTAGCTTGAACTAGCCCCAAATATGTAGTACAGTAGCGGACCGACCCGTTCGCAACGGCCATGCTAAACTGACACCAACAATCCGGCCGGAAGCCTCTTAGTCATTACCATCGTAAACCTCACACTAGAGCTTGAACCTCATGCGCAATCTTTGGTGTACCCTAAGAGTCATATCGCTCAGTGTAGAAGGACAAGCAGTGAAATCCCTTGGGCGTCTGTTCTCGGGACCATGGCCGGAGAGAACAAGCGGCTATAGCACAAATAACCGGACTGAGACATGAGCGCATCTGCTGGGTGAGATCGCCGTAGCCACGTTTCTCCGAAACACAGCGGGACTCACACCGTAATCTTGTACCCTCGTGGCTATTGCGCTAATGAAGTTCTTGACTCAAACACCAAGTTCACGTTTGCTGAGTCGCTGGATGGCCTTTTTCTGCACTGCGCTGTTCATGCCACCACGGAATGTTGCATATCGTTCGAAAGGCCGGGGCCGTACATTTTCAACCACAATTGCCCAACATTCCTTTGGTGACCATCCACACACCTAGCTTCCCGATATTCTCCAGCCCTGTCTGTCTGTCTGTCCCCCCTGCTCGTGGCTGGCCTCATCTCCACACGCATCTTTCAGCCGCTTCGGAAATCTTGACTTCTGAGATCGCCCCGATCGTCAGATGCAAGGGCAAACGCGCTGTGGATATTTTTCGTTTTCGCTATTTGTCGGAGGCTACATTATCACATCGTTTATCACCAAGCTAGCAGGCTCAGATCTCGGCATTGTGATCTGGGGTGTTTACACAGTATGCAACCGGGTATATGGTGCTGACGATCCCTGGACAAACAGCAAGATCTGTCCCGGCTATCTAGATACCTGCCCTCGCTACGAACTGCATTTCCTGACTCCCATATCTTGGTTTACGCAGGGAGCTGCATGTGTCATCCCGCAGTTGATGCTTTGCTTTGCTGTAACTGTCATACGTTTTGTCGTTCTTTTCCCTCTGCAGGCACCGTATAGACTAACATTGCGTGCATCGACTCGGGGCATTGTCGTTCCAGCATGCATCCCGCGGAAGAACGCATACTGTATGGGCGAGCGAGGAGAAAGTGCATATGCAACTTGCCTAGTCCAGGTGAGAAAAGAAGCAATGTCGCGCGCCACTGCTGGTCAGAAACACATGACTTCTTTGCGCCCTAGGCTCCAAGATTGTGGATAAATACCCTGATCATCTGCGATAACTCCGTGTTGTTTCCTCAACTCATCAAATTGCCCGTCCTCAACTTCATCTTCCTTCTATTCCCATTCATCGCTCTTTTTGCGGCTTGATCTCGTTGCTCGGAAGCCTAACATCTTGTTAGCTCCTAGGATCGCAGGCTCAGTCACATTTTTATAACCACGCGCCCCCAGCTGGTTGTTCCAGGACCTCGCCATGGACAAACCTCTCACACCAACTAGCGTGAGTTATTTACTCATTCAACCCATTATCACTAACATTTCTTCCTCAGGTTGAAAGTGACGATTCGTGGCCTGAGTTTTCCGAGGCAGAATTGCAGTGCTATCAGCAGTGCTATCAGGAGTCGATCGAGAATTCCATCACATCCCCGGATGGGCAGATGACTCTTCAGGACCACAGACAGACTTGCACCGATGGGCTTGTCGAAAAGTCTGAGGCTACTGCTGTGAGTGTGCTTCGTACGCTTCGTGGCCAAAGCTGACGTATCTTCGTGATGCCAAACAGGAGGCTCCCAAGCCCGGTGCGTCGTCCGAGTCGGAACTGCTTTCCACCTGGGGATACATCGATCGTTCTCCCGACCCCCCTCCAAAGCAGCCCAAATCCCTTCCAGACTCGACCGAGTTCGCCAACCTGAAGGGGAGAAAGCAGACTTACTCTGTTCGCTTTGCCGAGGATTCCGATATCGTCTCTGTAAGTCTGCTTATGGCGGTCGCTGGTTATCACCCATGCACATGGCTGATCATCATTGGATAGAACAAAGCTAAAAGGGCTAAGCTAGATGGCCATGACCTTGAAGTGAGTCCCGCGTGTTCGTCACCTGAGCCTTCAGCAATCAAGTCACCGACTTTGGCCAAGTTGACCATCTACCGTTGTCCAGAGATGGAACCTAGGGCAGATTCCTTGCGTGTCACGGCTGTGATGAAGCCCGCCCACGATCTCAGGCTCGCCGAGTTATATACGGAGAACGAAGGCTCGGCCGGCGAATCTGCCATTTCTACATAAACTGACACCGCTGACTCCATCTTCACAGGATGTTGTTTGGGCTGTTGTAAGTTCTACGCAGGAGTTGCAGAAGCGATTTGAGAGAGAGCCCTCTTGCGAAACCGCGGTACGTTACTCTCTGTATTCTTGCGATATTAGCTAATACGGTATCTGCAGGATTTTACATTCTTTCGGTGTCGGGTGATATGGCATCTGCAGGAATCAGTATCAGCTATAATCGCAAACCTCAGATTCCTGGACGACGACCCGGCTCTTTTGGAGATGCTTCACAACCGTCTTGGCAGAGATATAGGGATCGTTAAAGCTCGACTGAGTATTCTAGAGAGTGAGAAGCAGTGTCATCGAGATCTTCTCTCGAGCCTTGAGTCACGCTTGTCTGAGTTGGAGACCAAGGTGAAGGGACTACAGGCCTGTCGCAACCGTGAGATTGTGGAAGTGTATGAAGATGACGAGGAGGCTTTACTGGAAGATCGTGTTGAGAGTCAGAGTTGGATGGGAACTGAGATTGAGGCTCAACTTTAGGCTTTCCGGGGACTCGATCTGGGACTCCGGGGTGGCGCGAATGATCGCGCCTTGTATTGGCTCTGATGTAAAAGACAGTCGTGCTGACCGTCGCATTGGATGATGTCTTGTCTTTCTGGGGGGTAGGAAGAATAAAAAAGGAAGAGCTCGAGATTCGACATCTCGTTGTGACCTACAAAGCAGAGAAAAGTTCATATGATTTCTAGTACTTGAATCAATGCGCAGTTGTCCTTCTGTAATGCATCTCTTTGCGTCACCGAAAAAAGATCGCCGTTTGATCATTTGGACTTGATAGGACATCTTTCTTCGTAAGTGCATATGAGCTTATGTTTAGAGCCAACAATCCACACAGGGAGCGCGTGAACACTCATCATCTACATTCCTGCACCGGTATATGGGCCATTTTACATTTTTGACGGAGCAGACGGAGACACATGAGCGTGTCACAGGCCAAGAATTAACGTTGCGGATGGTGAGAATACAACCTCGCTGGTTCTAGGAACCCGCCATCTGTGAGCGCTCAGTGACACGTAATAAGGATGGCCTTGCCAAGTTTGGGCTCCATCCAGCTGATGAGGTCGCCAATACTAAAGAAATTGTTGAGTCGGTCGAGATCATCACCATTATCACATGTTGACTACAGTCCGATCCTGCGCTTTTACCTGACTGCATTTATCAAGCTCATACCCCATGTGGTACAAATATTCCTGATAAGAGAGTTAAGTACTACAGACAAAAGTAAATCTGCTGTATATTACTAGGGACTTTGTGCCCAGCCGGGTACCCTCGAGCTTCGTAGCGTGTACTCAAGCACTTTGGGTGGGTTGCGATGAGATCAATGGAAACCGTCACAATCAACGCAGTATCTTGTACCTTGGAAATCCTGATAAGACGAAAGGAGGACTTGAATCAGTAAGATACAAGGGGCGAACAAATAACATTTGAGAGGCAATCGAATGCGAGGTGGTACGCTGCAAGACTCCGAGAGACAGTCGCCACATTCTGTGCCCTCAAGAGATCGAGGGATATTCCTAGCTGCCAAGTGATTGGGAGCCGTGGCATCTCTTGGGAATCTTTACCCGATGTAATTCACCCTTTTGTGCATTACTCGCCAAGCTACGGGCTCATGGTAGGCTTCCTTATCAAGGGCCTTTGAAGACAAAATTCTTCAGACCATCGCACAACTCATCTGAGCCACGACAAAACGAACCGTCATACGGTTAGAATGGTCTCATAAGTGAATAATATCCTCGTTCGTAACGTAACTGGAAGTTCCCATCTCATCATTCCCTGGTTGCATTAAAAGAGAAAGGTCGGACGCTTTCGCGCCCCGAGAGTCTGGCTTGTCAAGAAACTCTGCGAAAACGCTTTTCAGCATAGCGACGCCTTTTCGATACGCTCAATTGCATCGTAGCAACGTGGTCAAGTATCGTGGATCAAGGTGCGCCGGTTGTCTGATCTTGCGGACTGAGTAGATGGTTCGAGGTCATGATGTGCCAGCTCTTTTGGAGCCTGAACAGTATCTGCTGAGGTATTTTAGTTGTAGATACATAATACCGAATGAGAATTCTACTGAATCATCTGGACATGTTTTTCTGCAAGTATTTGTCTTGACACGTCGTCCTATTTTCAGTCAGGAAAGAGATCAAGTTAAAATATAGCTGGGCATCTCTATCGATCTTGTCGAATTGTATGCTTTCAATCGTCGTCTTGCGATGAATTTCCTGCCAAAAGATCTTTTCCCTTACGCACACTTCTCGAGAAGAAGTTGGGCGATGGCGCAAGTTGGAGTCTAAGCCGCGTAATGCAGCAGAGGTTATCCATCCTTGCGAACTTCACAGTTACCTACCGGGCTGTGAGGATGCTCCAAGAATGTATGCAGGTTGTGTGAGACTGCGAATGCAAGGAAAGCTGTGTCCCAACGTTTATCCGTCAAACCCCAATGGCAATTGGGACCATCAATATCTCGCAGTCGATTGTGCGCAGAAGCCTGAATACTTGATGCTGAGAAGACCTAAGAACAGGTAGTTGCAATCAAGCCAATGGAGGAAAATGAACGCTTCCTCATGGACCAACGGGACCGATTGAGACGTGAATCAGCGATGGGCATACTCGAACCATGAACAGCCTAGTGGAAAAGGGAGCCCTTGATCTAAGGATACTGTAGCTATAGTTTTGTGCAGTATAGTCCGAGTAGAGTTTAACCCTGGCTCTCTCTTTGGGCCCAGGCAGAGGCGTTTCACACTGGAGCTATTCAGTTCGATATCTACAGCCTCATGATTTCGGTCAGGGTGAAAGAAGGGGAAGTGCAGATGCAGGATGATGCGCCGATTCAACAGCTATTCAACGTTGACATGGCCCTAGCAGCTGGTCGGCGATTGCAAACAAATTTGCGCAACGTGTTGCGGGGGCCACTTGATAGGACTGCAGGTGTACTGTCCTTGTCCGTGACCGAGTAGCAAGGCGAAAACGCAACTAGGCGTGCTTGAGATAAGAAGAAGTAGAGATGGTCGGATCAGATGTTGCTGAGGAGCGTCGAAACACGGTCTTGTGTTGACAAGATTGGGCGTGCGAGAGCAGAGGAATGGCTGAGCATTTCGTTTTTGCAATTACCTGACGAGTTCTTTCAAGCTGCAGTGTCCAGAGGAGGAGGGGAACCTGAGGGCTTTGGTTCTAAGTCATAAGAAGACTTAGGTAACTTAGCATAAGCTTGCAATATATTTTGCTGAGTTTATGTAGCATCTCGTATCAAGTTCTGGTGTTTTCTTTCTCGCCAAGAGAATTTGGGGAGGTTGACCGTGGTGCAGAAGCGCTGGGAACCAGTGGGGCTCCGGTAGTTTAGCTCACTCCTCCCCCTGTTGGTGGCCACTGTAACTCAAGTCTTCCCCGCGAAAGGACCCTCCACTTGCTGTAGCACTAATGCAGGTACGAAAACTTGGTTGTACCTCACCAAACAGTGTGCTTGAACATAAGGTACGATCAGCTGTTAGACATCATGCCTTCCTCAAAAGGATCACGCGAGGTTGTTCCGTCAAGTCATACGTCATCAGAGCTAATCCGCTCCCGACACTCGACTTCGCATCACCACGATTTTCACGTTCACAACATTCATTCCACTCCGCCTCCAAACCACTTCACGCACTCATTTCCATCACAACAAACCAATCCGCCCTTCGACAGGCTTGCTCTTCCTTCATCGTTAAACTTGCACAACTCCTTCGAGTCTGCGGCCCAATGCGGGTATGATACATTCTGCACCGCGGGCTCTCGGGTGTACGCAAACTCTTCACCCGAGAGCTCGTCATTTGCCGTCATCAACAGGCGAGCAAATGGCGGTACTCGAGTATCGCGATGAAGGTGAGGCGATACCCAAAGAGCAGGGCACTTATACCGCCTGGGCCTTGATGACCACTAACATTTGTAGTCTCCATCACCTCTCCATAGCTGACCCAGCTCGCTTCTCATTTCCAACTCGTCGCATCTTTCTCAGCAAAAAGAATCCGACTCTCGAGCATCCCCACGCAGCATCATCTGCTCGAGAGTCGGCAACTTGTCCTCGTCGGTGTCACAAAGCAAGCAATGGCGGTACCCGAGTATCGCGAGGGGGGTCAGCCGGTAACAAAATGATCACTCCTTGAACATTGACGATCGCTGACATTCGCAGTCTCCACACTCTCCATGGCTGCCCCCCGCCCAGCTTCTCATTTCCAACTCGCCGCATCTTTCTCAGCAAAAAAGAACCCAACCAAGAGCACCGCCATGGAATGCCACCTTGACTCGAGAATTCGCATATTTGTCGGCATCAACAAGCAATCAAAATGACGGTACCTAAGTATGTTCATCACAGCCTCCCACCATCGATCATCTCCGTCCTCGTCTTCACCCTCACCTTCACCCTCACCCTCACCCTCGCCTCCGCCTTAGCACCTCACTTCCTCCGCCTTCGCGATATTCATCTGCTTCTTCGGGATGTCTTGACCAGTACAAACTTCCCTGCCCCCATACACGACTGTCCTGACTGACCACAAGACCAGCCCGAATCTAGCATCCACGAAACCCCACCCGAAGACGAACAGCACCTGACGGCGAGACAGAATCCCCTGAGAGGTTAAACGGCGGTGGGGGTTAAGGGGGTGATAAGGAATTGGGCCAGATCAAATTGTGAAGGGTGGAAACCCTAGATAACTGCAGTCAGCTTAATAAGACTCCCATTCACATTTTGAATCTGAAGGCAACAGATATTCAGCTATGGACTTGGTACTGCACCGGACAGCGTCGTGCCCCAGGGATGCAAGAGACGTTCCTACTCGGACGTGACTGGCATCGCTGGCAAGATCTTTGTCACTACCGGGCTCAATGTCGCTCCGCAAACACGCATCACTACAAGAACAGCTCTATATACCGCCGACAAATCCCCCAGTCGGTGAGCGACCGTCTCCCAAGCCAAGCGCAAGGGCGAGACCGACAGAGCCGACTCCAAATCGTTTCTCTTCGGAGGCCTCCAAGACTGACAGCCCGAAAGCCTGGAGATGAGTCCCAAGAACATTTACACAACGCCAGTTTCGCTTCTGAGTAGCTTGAAAGAGTACGTCAATACTTCCCCATCTCAATGCCTTGGCTTCTTGCTAACATCTACCCAGTTCCTCAACACCAAGAAAGGTCAACCATACGTCTTTGGCCCAAAGGTGAGGCAAATTCCGCCCGAGAGATACCTGGAATTCGATCTCATTAACGACATCTCCATCCGAGCGAAGGAGTGTGAGGAGTGACGTGAAGAGGAGTGTTCTCGGAACTGGGATATCCCTCTCGAGCTCCATTTTTCGAACAAGCCAAGGTCCAGCTTACGACATTCTCGATGCTGGTATGGCCAGTGACCCCTCAGCCTTTTAATATCTGACACGGTCAAGAAGCACCAGAACATCCGATGAAGTCCAGGTCTACCAGATGGACTCCGTGAATGGCTGGCCGCTGGCTAGACCTATTTATTCTTAGGGGGCAAGGGCGAACAAAATCTGAAGGGTTCAACTCTGTCGAAGGATCATGGTGGGCATTTGTTGATCTGAAGAAGGTGACGTCTCAATGGTGGATGGAATCATAATTTGTACCTTGTCATTTGTCTCCCAATACCAGAGATTTAGCTCAGGGCTTTGAGAACAGAATGTGAATCGATGCTTCCAAGACTGTGGGTACTTCCCCCCAGAGAATCTGCTCACCCAAACATTGCTTGGAGGCAACACTGTATCCCAGCCATTGGAGGGTCAGTTTGGGCAGTACTTGTAACTCGAAGCCAATGTCAGCGATAGCTTCTGCTAGAATGGAAAGATTTGCGCGTGTAAAGTTCTGTGGACAGCCTTCACTTTCACCAGATGGAAGCAAGTATAAGGTTGATATTCTCCTGAAATGCATACAATTATTGTTATCTGGCTGGTCAAGGAGTAGTGGTGTCACGCATGCTTGTTTTCTAAGTAATGATATAAACTACGGCGCCGCGAGGTGCAAGAAAACTTCTGAAACAAAACCGAGGTACCAAAAATACTTAGTCATAGATCTTCTAAATGTATACTAAGTTTTCCTAAGTCTACCTAGGTTTATCTAAGACTTTTTATCACTTAGGATCAAGGTCAGTCTGTTCTACCAACATCTTTCATTGCAAGAAGGGTATACAATAAGAACAAAATAGCTGTTTTTCCCCCCAAGTCTAAAAGACCAAAGCGCCGTATACATCCAACCAATGCATAATGTTGTCCAAGCAAGGCAGAGCCAATTCCAAGGTTCATCATCTCAGAGCCTGCGCTGCTTCTTGGTAGCTCGTGTCTCCATTGTCGGGCCATCGTGTTCGTCGGGGCTAGTCTGCACTGACTGATTGGCATCATCGGAACGGTAGAGTCCATCAGCCCCCTCACTCTCATCAGACGCAGAAGGCTGGGAGGGCTCAGATGGCTCAGATGGCTCAGAAGTGCTGGGAGGCGGAAGATGAGTTATCACACGACGCACCCGGCGGCGTGCCTTTCGATTCTCCTTGACCTCGGTAGCTTCGCGGCGTTCCTGCCATTCTTCTGCCTCATCTAGGCAATGACAGAGGGTTCCATACGAGATCGAGATTTCAACATCCTTGTACGAAGCTTGGCTAAATTCGTCAAATGTGAAGTCGTCGAGATATAGCTTCAGGCTCTTGGTTTCGTTGACTGGGGTTTTGTCAGCAGTGCGGAAGGGCTGGGTTGGTTCATTAGCCTTAGTATTGTAATCAAGGAAAGACACTTACGTCTGAGTCGACGACAAGGTCGATATACACATCCTCGTTGGCTTCGAAGCGGGTTCTCCAGATAGAAATAGTTGATTGCTTGTTCGACTTGATACTCAGGCCAACGACAACCTTGATATCTCCTCCCGAGCCTTTGATATACTCAAGCGCAAGCTGGGGTAGATCCTCTGCTTTTTGCGTATACGCCACCTCAAGGATCACAGTAGGGGTGTCTGTCAGTTTGTGCTGAAACTGGACATCTGGCCCTTTTTCCTGCCCCTTGCTTTCGGTATCGCTTCCTGCATTTGGGTTGAGAGGCTCCAGCTCAACACGAGCATTACCGACAGTCCTAATACCGGCTATGAAGTTGGAATGCCCTTGATCCAGCTTGCTCAGCTTCTTCTTTATGGCATCCGCAACCAATTCAGCGAACTTTTCATGTGTCGGAGTAGGCATACGGAAGGTGATCTCCTGGGTTCCCGGGTCGTAGTCAAACCGCTTATGGACGGATTCTGCAATGTCGTCTTCGTAGCGCTTGAAGTCCGCGATACTGAGGGGAACAGTTACCAGGGCATCAGCGGAGATGGTGTTCTTTTTCAGGTAAAACCCAACAATGCTTTGAGGAAGTCGATCGACGTAAGGATCATCGGCGAAGAAGCGAGCCTTGGTGAGCTTGACAGCTGGGTGCTGTAACTTGACCTCGAGTTCGATTGGCTTGGCCTGGGGCTCCAACTTGGGGAGAGTTTCAACGACTTCACCTGTGGAGGAGACGGTCTGGAATGACGAGTCGGCCGACGTCGTCGAGGGGAGGGTTCGAGGAGATGAGGATGGCTCGCGATTATTATCTATCATGGTGGAAGCATGACATCGCGATGCGGAAGAAAGGCAAGAAACACTAGGAAGGGAAGAAAGGGTTGGAAGTGCGCGAGGCTGAGTTTCTTTTGTTGCTTCGGCCATGGCGATGAATCCCTCTGTTGTTGTTGTTGTGGCGATGGTGGGGTGTGTAACGCGACGGCGGGGTCGACAACCTGGGCTCTTATCTTATCATTTAACGACAGTGATGCGAAACTGGCGCCCTGTCACGTGAGCTGTACATCTGCAGTGACAGCCAGCGGGCAAGAAAACACCAGTAAAAGATAACCTAACCTTAGTAAAGGTCTCCTAAATTTATTCAAGTTATCTTAAATTTATTCTAATTTACCTCAGTGTTTTTGTTACTTAGGATCAATGTGCCGCTTGATAAATGTAGAAGACCGAGATTCCATGTCGGAGACCGTGGTTTCCCTTGTTCCAGTAGTGGTGGTCTGTTGGCTAATTGGTTGAATCACCAAGCTCCAGTGGATTAGCCCTGTAACCCACTGGAACAGATATACTGTCCTCGAGAGATGGGATCGGATCTTGAGAAATTGACCATCATCTCCGCCACACAATCCTATTATCTCGATCATGAATTCTCATCGTGCCTCGCTGACTTCACATTCGCATGTCGCTATATTGGAGTTGGCAGCGCTGGACTACATGATCAGCCTGCCACGTCACCTAACTTTGAAACCCGAATCATTTCCGCTTTCCTCTCGTGAGCAACTGCAATGCCACGACCGTCGCTTGTTTAACTAGTGAAAGCACGTTTCTAAGTACGAGCATCTCTTGAGAACTGATCTGCGAGAAAGCCTCTTAATTGCATCTCCCCCCCCCCGCTCTCATCGGTTTCTGCCATCGACGTTCGGCGCAGCCAACAGCCGCCTGGTCTCTCATCAGCAATCAGGGTTTCTCGATCCGTACTCTGTCACTAATAATCGCACATTTTGGCTGGAATGGTATAGAGACACGAGGTAAACCCGGCCTGGTCTGGTTTCTGGATTGCAACAAGCCTCGCCAGCGGCGCAATACGCCTAGGAACCGCGCAGACTTCTTGAGGCAGCCGATGAAGCTGATATCCTTATGTGAGCAATTCTAATAGCAGCAATGGAGTCTCCATACCGTGGGCCGCAGTGGAAGAGACTTTCTGGAGTAAAGAACTTTGTAAGCCGCCAGTTGATCTTTAGGTTTGAGGTTCGAATGTTTACTAACCTGGATCATCATCAGCAGGCTTTCTTCTTCGATCCTCCAGAGACCATCGAGCTAGTCGCCTTCGCCTCATTTCCATGCCTACCCTGCTCGTCTTCCAAGTCCAAAGCGCTCAAATATACCAAATTGACTGTCTCCACAGGTTCAACGTCGAACTTCCATGATTAGATTAGGCCCTTTACACATGTTGACCGAGTCGTCGTTGGCCCCGAAGCTTATGACGCACAGAATCATGTGAATCCGATCGCTTTCTCAGCTAAGTCGCCACCAGCTTCAACAAGAAGAAACAAGAAGAATGCCTACCGGTGTACAATATCTGCACCGGCTTTGGCCGTTGTTTTATTCTTCAGCTGGATTTCAGACCGACTTCTCTGATCTGTTAGCACTGCCGCTTCGAAATGTCCGACATTGGCATTCCAATCCATCTTGCTCAGACGAACCTCGAGACCGCAGTACCAGCTCTACAGTATTGCCAACTACCCAATCATCAACCAACGAGCTGTCTTAGGTGTCTCAAACATGGTCCTCCTGTTGAAGAGTTGGGGAGGATATACCATGCGGGCAGTGGTCATGCTAGCCGCGGAGAAGTGGTGTATCGACGAGTCGACATTTTCCACAATGTAGATCATCAAGCACGGGTCGGCGATTTGTTCGGCGATCAGGAAGTTCAATATGTCCATGTTTTCTATCAACGTCGTCACCTTATATGCCTTCCTAGACTCATTCGTCGACGTCGCTATGTACCTTATGCTGACAGCAGCGCGCGCAAGGTCGACTGGACCTGTTTGAGTCTGCTCAAGTCAGATGAGCCTAATTCAAGACCTCTGAATTTTATTGGTGAGCGTAATTGGATCAGAATGAAGCCTGTCGCCTAAACACGGGACAATCTCCCCATTCATATAGCTGTCTTTGCTCACGGCTTCTCCCAGATTGGAGACTTGACTCTTTCCCCGAAAAAGGAGCTCATGTATCGTCAGTAGGATGGTATCCTCGCTGAATTCGGCACTTGAACTTTGTTAGAGCGTTGAGCCTGCGTCATCATGTCAGCCCACGGTGGACCTGGCTGTGAAGCAACATTTTATTCTTTATAAGTGTGTACAAACATCCGCGCCTTTTACATTTGCATCGAGAAACTATGTTTAAGGATAACTATCCCGCTCAACCAGAAACAGCTGTGAGTAGTCCTCATGATATTCCCGGTACATCTCACGTCTGTAGAAATTGCCTTGGACACCTGGCCAACCAGTTTGAGGCCACTCCCATCCTCTATGTGCCTACTCTTACTCTACGTGCCGATCTACCAAGCGCTGTTATTTGATCCAGCATTAGTATTTACATGGTCTTATCCAACGGTAGTTAGGCAAGGAGCTCTCGTAGTACATCTTCAACCTCTCTTCCATCCAGTATTTGCGAAGCTGCGATGGTCTCAACACATCTTTATACCTACTGCTAACGCCAACTAAAGCTTGACTCCAAGCACTCTGGTGTGTCAAACGTGTCAACAAGTGGAAACATCCGGTCAGACCTTTCGGATATTGGCCGTGAGATCAACCACGACGTCAGCCGCCCAGGGATTCATACTGAGTTTCAATAGCAACTTGTGGCATTCCTCATACAGCAGTGTTGACGGTACTCGGTCTTGAATGCATTCACGATTAGACGAGAACACTTAGGTGCTATTTGCAGGTAAGAACGTACCGACACATGGAGTTCACCAGAGCAAGAACTCCAAGCGAGGCTCGGCTTACCCTATCGGAGGTGTGTGAAACTCCCCGTACTTGTCGACCAAGAAGCTCTTCCAGCTTATGATTATGAAGCACAACTATCCAATTAGATTCAACCCCGCAGACCAATGGCAAGACCTGTCCTTGAACTGTCTCTGGCGGCCAAGGTTTTCTTGTTTTGTCCTAATCTTGGTCGATGAAGCTGGTGTTCTGATTGTCAAACAGCCGTTCACCACTACCCCTTCTTTCTCATTTGATCCATACCTCCCATCTGGACGTGAACAATCATTCAGGCATTTTTGTATCCGCGAAGATCAGTTTCAAGCTCCATGATGCATTCTTTCTTCTCCTGTAGAGATAAAGTGAAAATCACTCATGCTCTGGCTTCAACTCCAACCTGTTCAGCGTCGAGTATATCTTGATCAAAAGGAGATCGACTGATTTTCGATTCATAGGCTGAACAAATGTGTATAGATGCTGTAAAATGTCCTATCAGCTCTATTGAGGCAGTGAATAGAAATGCGAATGGCCAACGAGACAGAAGACAGCCACTCATCTAGCTTGCCGGAAGGAACACGCAAGATAATCACCGTGGCTCGTAGTTATGCTATCTTCTTCTGTTAAAATATCCGTAGTAACATGGTTATCTTGAGTAGCAGAATGTATTTGCCAGCATGTACATCAGGAGTACAAGTTGCGCCAAAACCCATCTCCTGACGTTGGCCCTGTTTCCTGTCTCCCCCTTCTTATCTTCTCTTGTATTCTTCCATCTCCTTCTTAAAATCCACACAGTATTCACAAGCTTGACAAGGTTTACCGTCTTTCGGCGCCAAGCAAGTCCAAGATAACCACTGAGCTGGAAAATCCCAGATCGGGTTCTCTACACATTCCCAGACAAAAACCTCCCCTGAACCCCTAAAAATAATCCCCTGCACTATATCCCCAGCGTCTAATCGCTCTTCCAGTTGATGCCCCACTGAGGATAACAGATCAATCGTTTTTGTGCGACTTTCTTCCGTGAGGTCTCTCCAGTCTCGGACCGTTACTTTGTACGGCCATCTTGCGCAGGTGAAGATAAATGGCATTAGTCCGTCAAATTCGTCGCAGACTTTGTTCCATGCCCTTCCGGTATGGTAATGGTCTTTCATCTTGAGGTATGTATTGGTATCCATTCCGAGTTTCTGAGCGACTTGATCGACATTTGTTGAAGTAACTCGATCTCGACCTTCTTCCTGGAGGATCTCGAGGGTGCGTTTAGCAAGACATGATCGCGCATATTCAACTTGGAACTCGGTGAGGATGGTCTGTTTCTCAACTTGTTCGAAATACCTGAGATATGCATTCACGTGGTTCTCGTCAGTCAGTTCGGCCTTCTTGGAGATAATAGTTGGCGCGGTCCGAAAGCCGAGCATGAGTGAGACGATCTGCTGCTTGGCTTGGTCACTCAGCACCCAGGCTATCATCCTATAGAGGTGAACTTCGCTGGGATCCAGAGTGAGTGGCATATTCAAGTCTGGAGCGGCAGTTCGTAAGAAATCTCTGATAACTCCCGCGCTCAGTGGTTCATTTTTAGGTTCATCGCCAGACCGTATGACTTTGACACTCTTGGAGTTGTCCTCGTCGTCGTCGTGAAGTGCTTTTCGTTTCTTCCCTTTGTTATTCACAATTTCGACGTTGAAACCTGCTATGAAGTAGAGAAAAGCAAGACTGCATTTTGTCTGACAGCAGCGGAGAGGATTCGCTTGATCGAAGAAGGTGGGTGTTTCTGATCCACTGATGTAGTTGCTAGAGAGCGACAATGAGTTTTGAAGGTTGATGACTTGGTGATACTGATTCCGTTTCGTGAATATGAGATCTCCCACTCGTTGAAGAAGGATTGTGAACCGTATGCCTGCTCCATCGAGTTGCTCCGGTCTGAAGAAGATGCCCAAATGGCGCACCCACTGATCACAGCACTTCCCTTTCGGAGGAACATCAGGAATCGTATCTCGGACCCAATCCTCAAACATCTTTGTATCTCTTGTATCGACGAGCAGAAACGCCCTCGTCCCAGCGAATCCCACATTCACTGATCCAAAATTGGCATCCTCTTGGTGCATCGCAGTCCCCGAATATTGCTCCCCGCAGTGCGTGTACGGCTCATTAGCCCTTCTGAGCTCCTCGATCTCAGCGAGTCTGCCTGCATGAAGAGGACAGAGATCCCAGAGGGGGGATTTCACGACTCCAGCGTAGTGAGAAACAGAACGGTCGGGGTCGTTGACGAAGCATGCTAATTTACGACCTGCTTCTCTTGTTGTCATGCGGTAGTTCAAGCCCCCGAAACCAGGCCAATGGAAGAATTGCTCTTTGTTGGATATTCCAATCCTGATGATATCGTCGGAATCAACTGTGATCATGTTTCTGTTAACGTCTCCGCCATCGCTCGGTTCGAGGTTCCATGTATCTGTCGGACGGTGTTTCATTGCTTCTGCCAAACCTGACACCTGGGCCTTTTGGATCTGATTAGCGTCAGAGGCGAGGGCATCTATCGTGGCGGCGAGATTCTCTCCCAGCTGCTGTAGCTCCAAGGTTGGTATGTCATCGCGGTCGTCGATGTATTTCTCGTAGCGGCCGAGGTTCGGTTCTGGCTGAGCCATCTTGTTCAGTCTGGCGCTGGTGCGAGTGTTGACTCGTCGCTTGTGCACTGCTGCTTTGGCGGCGTTTGAGGTTATTTTTTTCGCATAGCTTTTCGGTCTAGGTTCTGGTGATGTTTCCTCTGACTGGGTTGTGGATGGGGTTGCGGGTGGAGTTGCGGATGCGGTTGCTGTGTTAGGATGAGGCTCAGAAGTAACGTCCGGCTGGCTTGTACTTGGCTGTTCCTCGTTGTCGGAAGTGGTAGTCTGATCTTGATCAGACGCTTGCTGAGTCGAATCGTTCAACACCTCATGGGTCGCCTCTGACTCGTCAATCGTCGAGCCAGGATTCCTCGCAGAGTTCAAGTTCAAGAGTTCGTTGGCAGTAACGACGTGTTCCACAGCTGATTCGAGTTCTTTGAGTCTCGTATCAAGAAGCGTGTAGATATTCTCTACATCTTGTTGTATTTCCGCTGGCAATGTGTAGTCTGCAGGTTTGAGGCGGCTGAGCTTACAGGCCTCGGACCTGACTTCTGCGACGAGGGACTTGAGCTGTGCAACGATGGTGACTGTGCGGACTTGTGTAGTTTGACGTTCAAGGTCCGCCATTATACTGGTATTCGCGATGCTGGTTTGACTTGGCTATGTGCATATTATCAATGAGGCCTTTCTTGTCTTGTTCATCTTCTCCGCGCTGTGTGACGGACTGCCTGACATTCAAGGCTCCCTCGCTCCTTGTGACACTCGGAAAGTAGAGCCAATCAAAACAACGAGTCTTATTCATTAGCTTGGTTATGCTCTCACCTCTAAGTTAACTAAGTCTGAATGAATATGTTTAATTTTTGCTTCATCACAGCCCGCCCCGTAGATATGCGCATTCGGGTATGCCGACTCTTTACAGGCTGCCCGCATGCTGATTGAACATTTACTGGCGTGCTGTATGTCACTTTGGGACACTGAAACCAGAGCATATCAGAAAAGCCTCTCTTGTGGGTTCTCTCCCAACTCTGCGGCCTCGAACAACCGTCAGATGTTTGGATTGCGCGCCCCAGCAAGATCAGTAGCTCGCTATCACTTGCCGGGGATTCCAGCAGCAGCCGTTGTTTGCTCAGAGGCGAGAACGCGTGAGAAGGCTGATGGCATCATGACGCATCCATGTACTTGTATTGCGATGGTTAAGTTCGGCATGGCGCGATGTCCTTTCCTCCCCGTGAATATCATGCTGCGTTGGCCTTGAGCGGGAAGTGGGAAGCGGCTAAGAAGTGATAGCTTAGAAAACACAACAGGGCACGTTCTGCCCCCTGCAGGCCTCTGCTTCTAGCGCTCTGATTAGCGTCTCGAGGCGCAGGCCGTTTTAATTTTTCGAGAAGAATTAACCAGTTCAACAACAGATACAGGATAAACTCACTAGTTGAATTTAACCTCATCACTAAAACTTCTTCAGTATGAATCCTGTCTTTACTTAAAATGTCAATTGGAGCAATGATGCGATGTGAATATAGATCTGTCACATTTGTGCACCATGACCAGACCCAACGACTTGATTCAAATTCTGTCGAATTGCCTACCCTGGAAGAGGCCAGCCGGTAAGTGCGCAACTGGAAAGGCCACGACATTACGCTCAAATATCTTGAGTGGCACACAGCAAGAGCCAATTAGTCAATTCATGATGATAGATGCAAGCGTTGAATTCATTTTCTCTAGACGTGGGCGTGTTTGTTGAGTTGTTGGCATGCGATCCGTTGTGAACGGAAAGCAGCAGAGAGTGCCGACCTGTTCCGTTGAAGCCCGTGCAAGGGTGTGTTGGGTACATGCACAGTACATCTGGGCTAACAATTTACCACGCGTATTCGCTCTACAACTGCTACTGATCATGCCCCTGTCTTCTATGCATGAGGTTGGTCTTGTCCACATCGAAGTTTGAGTATCGTCCGCCTCGTCGGTTGCCCGTTTGATAGCATCACAACGTACTCATCATTCACGTCGCTACCCGTCAGAATGGCCTCTAGAGCATGCAAGCCACTATCGGACTTTGATTGCCATGAATCGCCGCTATGAGAATTACAAAACCCCCATTGCTGCCTGTTTTTTGCATCTCTCAATCGCTTTCACTCGCAATCACCTTTACTCACAATTACTTTCATTCGTGATTACTCCCAAAACACACTCTGTTACCATGCCTCCTAAGAGGCGAGGCTCAGGCAGAAAACGGCAGCGCTCGCCGACTGCCAGTCCCTCCCCGCGGCCTACGCGTGCAGCACGCATCAGCAACGACGACCGAGTCGCTAGTCCGGTCCTTTCAGCCGACGAGCCCCAAGACAGTCCAGCTGGCACTGGCGAAGAATGTGTGTATGCACAAGACGACGGTCTCCACAGACTCGTAAGTCAACGCTCTTCCTTATCAGACTACGGTACAATATATTGATCAACAACAGCCTAACATCCCTGACGAAAAGCTCTCCGAGAGATAAATTCGTCTGGATGGCATTTCCGAGGACATCGCCCAATATTATTTTGCTTTGAAAGAAGCAAAAGAGAAACTGGGGGTTGACTCTGCCGTTGTTAAAGTAGTAGGTAACACTAGTCTTGCTGTGAAATAGATGAAAATTGACTGTGATTAGTTAGAAAAGGTTAAGCAGGAAGCGGTAGCCCAATATAAGCGGATCGATGCTGAAAGGACGCCTGATGAAGAGCCGACTGAAGATAAGGTGCCCGGAGGCTAGCCTGAAGTCCTGACTTTGGAGCAGCGACAAGTGAGCCTGGAAAGTGAGCTTTTTGTATTGAGAGGCAATGTGTTCCCCATGATAAAGGACTTGGAGAGAGCGGTGTTGGTGTTGAGAGAAGAGATAGAGGCACGGCAGGAATAGAAGGGTGTAGATGAGCTTTCTCAAGAGTCGTGAGAGATTGTTGGGTTTTGGAGAGAGTCAAGTCTTGTACATTGAGCAAATGCCTCAAATTAACCACTTATGAAGGTGAATAAATGCCCGTTGAGCAAACTCTTGAAGAAAAACGATAACACTTCGTTGCCGACGAAACCTTTATGTGGGCATTGTTGTTTTTGATGGTGTTTGCTCATGAGATCTCACGGCCGAAGCTTACGGTGTTTTGGAGTCGGGAGCCAAGGCTAAAATATAAGGGAAAATAACTTGGATGTGAAGTATAATCCTCAAACGTTCTGTCGCTGGCTTAGATGTACAACTTACGGCACCTCAAGATTGTTAGTAGATCGTTGGTCTCGAAGACGAAGGCTCCACAACAAACCAAATTGAGGCGTCTATTGAATTTCTGTATTGATGTGGTGTCATTGACCTGGATGCCCTCGCTGCCTGGGTATATTTTGTAGCTCAATTGACTCCGTGACTCGCTATGGTTTAGATCTTTTTCTTCGTAGCCGCGTGTCGTTATTGTTGGAGATCCAGAAACGATGATACAGGGAGTCAAGCGAGGGCCAGGGCTGTGCGCAAAACTCTACTGCACTGCTCAACCTCTTGGCATCGCATCCATTTAGCACCATCTCAATTTGACCGCGCTTGCACTGGTCCCAGGCTAAGATTCCATGCGTGATACGCGGCCCATAGCGGAGAGAGACGACAGAGATGTTTGAAGCAGAGACTCGGTTGGTCAAATGGTGGCCATTGTGAGATGCTGGTCTGGCACTGGTTGAATGGCAAGACCACTAGCGGGGGGGGGAGGTGGGTTGAGATGCGATATAAACATGGGAAATGCCGGACTGTTGCTTCCTCTCCCCTGGTTAATTGTAAGAACACGAGCCTCTTGAAGAAGAAAAGACCTGACTTGATTATAGACCTAAAGAACTGCTTTACCCTTGTTAGAAAAGGCGGGGAATCAATCTTTAAGCCGCGGAGCTGTCTGAGACATGCTAACCACGTTAAGACCACTTAACCTTTATAAGCTTATAGGATCAATAAATTGTCCTGTGGTGGGCTGATAAGTCAGACGCTATGGCGCAAAGTTGGCTGAATGCTGAATGCAATCCGTAGTGACATGAGCGCTTAGACACAAGTCTTAACAGTAAACAAGACATCCGGCTCATAACATGTACGAGGCTTGGACCTGTTCTTCTTTAAATTTTATTTCAATAGCTTTCTTTGTCCCTCGGGACAGCTTATTTACCCAATCAAGAGCAATAAAAAAGAGCTATGCATAATCTAGACCATAATGTCTCAGCTATCAGCTTGCCGCAATACTGATTCGAGGTAATTTTAAGCGATGGGGATATTTTAGCTATAACTTTCTTTCCTTCTAATAAGAATCGACATAAGGACCTAAGTAGCTAGTACCGCCTTAATAGTCAAGTGGTAGTATGAAATAAGTAGAATGTACTTAATTATTTCTTATACTGATAGTTGATTTTGTGGCTGGCTGAAGAGCATGATATTAGCTTAGAATGGAACGGTCTAGACTAGCCATACATAGAACTATATCGGCAAATAAAAGGCGTTCTATTTAACCAGATTGCCCCATAATAGAACACGTAGAGTAAAGCCGTTACTCTATTCTACGTTTATCAGGCCTTTTTCAGCCGCGCCGGAATGTAATTCAGAGGGCCAGAACGAACCATGGACTTCAATATGACCATTCTTCAGCTATGTTATCCTTACGTTTGTTCAATTGGTTGAAGCCAGTTCAGCTTATCTATCTGTGTAGTGTAATTCAGCCAGCCTCCTTCTTAAACACGGCCCTCGGTACTAACTGAAAGGCGATTCTGAGCTGGAAGACTAGGTAGATACACAATTTCTTGTTAAATCATCTATAAGAGGCTTGAATCGCATCCAGGAGAGGAGTCTTTCCTCTTTTAATTATCTCACTTTCTCAACTCCACATTACTGAGTAGATCAGTACACAATATGCGTGAGTGGTCTGATCCTCAACTGGTTATTCCAGGCTCCATTGTTACCTCATCCAGGAAGCCGGCCATATGCGACTATAATGGCACGGCGTTCATTGCTTGGGCCACTCAGTCGATTGATTCACCCAACGACCCAGGGCCTACCTTCAGCTTTACCTATTGGATCGCAGACAAAGATGCGTGGGCTCAGCCAACTCTTGTTCCTATCGGCGACTCTGGCATGTATCAGAGCCACACATCTGCTCTCGTCGTCTACAACAATGACCTGTATGCTTTTGTCCCATACAAGTCACGAGGCGACGACAAAGGTTGCCGTGTCTTTCGCTATGACGACGACAAAGATACCTTTTTCGTCGCAGAAGACTGGAGCAAGGAATGGAATGGAGATCTTGCAGCAGCTGTTGACAATGATAGCTTGCTGCATGTAATCTGCAACTCCAACGATAGTTTGGTGTGGACATACTCCTTGTCGAGCTCATCGGGTGACCTTAGCTGGCGCGGGACCTCACACAATACACGGATCCCGATGGCAGGCACTACATCGAATCCCGCCTTGACTGTTATTGGCGGCAAGATTGTTGCATTCTTCTTGTGGTCTTTTTTTAATTGTCGCAGCGTTATGCAGATGACCCTCGATATGAGCACTAAACAATGGAGTTCAATAGACAAATCCAATATCAAACAGTCTGGCAATAGTGGTATCAGTGCTATGAGCACCCCTGATGGGCAACATTCATGGATCTGTTTCAAGAAGCACGACGGCAGCAGCAATCTGTTATGCGAATTTGAGAAAGGTAGCAACTCTTGGAGCGACAATTATCCTATGGGATCAAGCGATGCCTACCTTTGCTGGAATGAAGCAGCTATAGCTTGGTCCGACAATTACGTCTACGCGGTATGGAACTCACACCTGTCGGGAAGCCCTTTGTGCTATAGCCGCACCTTTTTGAAGCCTACCAGGTTTGGTACGGGCTACACGCAAGACAAGCCAAGCTCTAAAGACGCAATTGTCGATATGTCTGCTATGAACATGGAAAAAGTCGCCAACATCAAGTACCGCAACATATCTAAACCCGAATGGGTATTGAATCAAGAATCCGTGGGGTCTTGTACCGCCAATGCCGTCGCAACTGCCTACCGCTATGAGCTTAAACGCCGGAACAAGGCAGACTTTATGACTTCTCGTCTCTATCTGTACTATCTTGCTCGGCTTGGCAGCCTGAATATTGGAGAACCGTCACCCGAATTCTATAACGGCCTAGCCAAGCAGCCTCCGACTACAGAAATGCTCCAAGACACCGGTTCCAACATCCGCGAGGCCATCAGAGTCATCACTTCCCTTGGAGCTATCGCAGAAGCCGACTGGGGATATACCTACGCTTTTGATCCGGATAATGACAAGCGGTTTGTGAAGAAATGTAATGCCAGCTATCCTCCTGGCAACGTTTCATTTGCAACTGCAAAGCAGCACTTTGCAGTCAAGTACGCGGTGGCAGACGCCAAGGACCGAAATTGCTGGAAGACGTGCATTGACATGGGATACCCAATCATATTCGGTTTCAGACTATACCCATCAGTGCATAGCTTTATGCAAAAGAAGAGCCTGACGACAAATGATGAGGCTGTGGCGCCTGTACCGGATACCTCGAAAGAAACGGCAGATGGAGGACATGCTGTGCTTGCCGTTGGATGGGACGATAACCTGAAGGATGGATGCTTTCTTATTCAGAACTCGTGGGGCAAGTCTATGACAAAAGAAGGCTTTTTCTGGATGCCTTATAAGTGGTTAGATATAGGCATTATTGATAATGCTATGGGATTTACTTTAATGGACACTTATGGCTCTTAGGTTTAGATCTCAGTATTAGGTCTAGCCTTATATAGTTAGCTTTAATCCAAGCTTCTGGAGTAAACCGTGTACCCGCTCGCCACTTTCACAGTCTCTCCCCTACTAGTAATATTTATCCCCAATCCATTCCTCAAGAAACCACGATGGAGGCTTAGCAGGTTCCCCGTCGCCCTCCATCGTTACCCCATCGATGCTATCGACGCCTTCCCAGTCGCACAGCCAGCTCAGTTTCTCACGCTCTCCCTGCAGATTGGCATTTGCCCAATCACGAAAACCTGCGGTGTCTTCTACCAGGAAAGACGTCATCCTGAGAGTAGAAGCTTTCGACGGTCGGACCCTGATAGATTGGCCGGTGTCCTCTGGGCAATCGATAGATGAGATGACTATTTCCAGGTTGTCGGGAACGTTCTGCACATTTCGCCTAGTACAAACTCGAAAGCCCTTGTCGGAGATTGTCTGCATTTTATTAACATACCACGCGAATGAGTGATAACTGCGGCTATACTTGGTTTCGAGTTGTGGCCAAAGCTCAAGTTCAACTTGCTTCTTCTGTATGTGTCCAAGGGGCTGCCATGATAAATTCAAGCCAGCCGAATCCTGAAGCTTGAGATCGAATCGGCAGCGAAGCAGGTCGGCTCTAGACACCAAATCATCCAGTTCAGGATAAAGAGAATCCTTTTCGAAATGTAAGAATGACTGTTTGGATCCTATCCAAGCAGACACCATTGGGTCCGGTGGCGATAGCGATCCGAAGGCATATTTCTCTTCTATTTTCAATGCATATTGTTGTATCCAGTCAAGGACAGCCATGTCGCCAAGCAAGAAAAGAGCCATCCACCAAATAGCAACCCGAGGTCGGCGGGAAAGAAAGGTCTTTACTAAGACTTCGACTCGTTTCTGCTTGATTACTGGCTCGAGCGTATCCAAGACAGATGCGAGCCACGGACTGACTAGATTGCAATCGATGTCTGGCTGCCAGAATATGCTCCATATAATAGATCCAATCGAAGGAGGATGGATGCTAAGAGTCATGAAATATCGCATGTCATTGAAGTACGCCCGAATGCTCTGCTCATGGGAAATGCGGAATGTACCAATTCTCTTTGGCCTGGTGAGACGTGGAGGAGGTAACTGGGGTTGAAGCTTCATGAAGTTATAAAAAGGGAGTACAAGTGTGGCCAAGAACGACGCCTTATAGGGCGCCATCGGTTACAAGCCAGAGGCATCGGTTGCCTCAGCTCCAAGATCGAAGAGTCGGCATAGTTCAATGAACAGTTCTGTGGCTTCAGAAGAGCTCGGGGGCAACCCGATTTCTATAGCTGGGGTTAAGGCCTTGATATTAAGTTTGACCTCTGTCGTTAGAGAAGTTGCCCATGGCGGTAGGCGTCCTTGATCTTTGGCTCGTCAACCTATCTTGGGACTAAGGATCGCGCAAAGCCACCGGATAAGCGACGGCGACGCGCCTTCGAGATCGAGATCGATGACATGTTCGCTTTGGCGCTGAGACGTATCGGGCCAAAGACGATCCATGGTGAATCGCACCTCCCGACCTTGCATCTCAAGAAGTCGAACCGAAAAGATGTATGACCAGCACATGACCAGTACAGCAAGGCTATTGGTTATCTCTGAACCGACACCCAGGGAGTAAGATGCTGCATCTGGGCAGATATGGCACTGGATTGGATCTTAGGTCTGCAATCGAAACACAACTCGGCGGCCGTGAACACGGGCATTGTTGCTGTGAGGATCATGGTCTTCGCAAGATCTAGCAGCGATGTCTGGGGGCAGCTCCCAGCATGGCCTGCCGTATAGCCAATCGCGGCGAGGCAGCTGCTCTGGCATGCTCGGGACGTCTGTCAAAGTGATGTATGGATCTAATGCATCTGCTGGCCAGAGACTTAAAGGACCTTTGCTTGTCTGGTATAAGAATGTTTGCTACGTTGCCTTTCCGTCACAAAAGGTACGGTTAACATCGGTAGGGTTTGGTATTAGTATATTGTCTTTGTCGCTGTTAAGAGGCCAGTCTTGGCTTGAGGATCGGTCGCTAGAGGAGACGAAAGTTGATGGTAAAGATCTAGACAAGGTCGATTGGGAGTTGTTATGCGCCATGACTAGCAGGCTTCCTTTTGCCTCTTTGTCTGCTTAACAACGCGTCTGTGGATCACCACGAAATTCTGGGGGGTGATTCTGCTCTTTGTTTATCTTGCCCAGCAATTCCACGTTTTCACCAGCTTTTCTTCCACTTCCCCGGTTGCGTTCAAAGCTGCCTAAAGTGCAATGCGATCGTGCACCCGCGTGTATAAGGAGTGCCTTCACTGAAAGAGAAGATCCTGGTCATATAGCTCTATGAATAATGACCAATGGCTCTAATTCATCCCCAGAGAGTAGGTTTTGATCAGAGGGCGATGCTGCAAATCTTGTGATAAATGTGACCAGACTGGGGAATGAGCAGCAAGACGTGCTCGGTTCCAGATTAAAGAGGTCATGAGATAAGTAAGTCAGGGAACAGCTAAAGGTTATTAGACTCATATGGTTAGCTTCAAGGGTTTGTCGGGCGGAGACTGGGAGTCACCATAACATTTTTGCTAAACACAGAAGTGTGCACAGCGCCCCCGTAGGAAGACATGTTCACCTCCTCCTTCGGTATGGATGAACCCTAGTCCGGCGATCTACGTCAAATCGAGCCGTACCCCTCACCTACGACCGTCATGCCAACTTATCACATTAACCATGGCATCCACGGACGCGTCTGAGGAGATCGCAAAAAGGTCTATATCGGAGAAAGGCTTCTATCGTTGGCAAGATACACCGGCGGGGGATCGGGTTTCGGATTTCGAACAGAGAGGTTTCCCTTACTTTACAGAGTATGGGCTGGATTTCCTGATCGACTTTGCATTCAATCCCGTTAGTAACAACTCTCCTCGTTATTCACGAAGCTAAGAAATCACAGCGCGTTCAACAAATCTTAAATGCATTTTTCAATCGATGTTTTTTTGGGCACTGGCTCAGATATGAAAGCTTACCTGAACCATATATCGAATGTTTTAGGCGAGGTGGACCTGGCGCTGGACGACGGGTTCTCGGGGTGCATTTGTGTTCGAAAAAGTCGCAAATCACTTATTATACTGGATCGCATCTTCATCGGTTCCATACAACAGTGGGTGCGAGATCAAACTACAAAGTGTTGCAAGAACAGCTGAGCCATGCCAGATGCGAACCAACAGTCATGGACTTTGCAGATGGAGCCTTGTAAGTCCACTATCCTAATTCCTTCATGTGTCTAACGGTTTCCTCAAGGGTCGTGTTTGATGCCCGTGTCTGTTTTGAAATAAAGCAGGCGGGGTTATGTAATTACATTCATGTTTACAACAGAAGACGTGGTAGCCAACTGGGCCAAGATAGACCTCCCGAACTTGACGGTGCTCCAAGATAAAGTGGCACAAATAGAGGCCAGAAATCCAAAGATAGGACACAACTTCGTCTTCCAAAAGAACTAAGTCGATTCCATGACAAAAGTTCAGGATATAACAAGGGGAATTGCTTACTGGTTTTGCGTGTATTGTACTCCGTATTAGTTGTCCCATTGCGGAACAGTCAGATGATCGCTGATATCAGCGAATCCGCTTTCAAAATCCTTGTGCTGAATCTTGTGACCCTGCCTGTTTGATATGGGTTGTGGATAACGCAAGCGAGAGTCTTGATCTTTTCTTAAAAGTCTCACCCTACACATATATCACAATTCGACATCCTCTATCGATTGCAAAATAGCCATGGACTCTGAGAAGTGTAAGACTTGTAATGGCCAAAAGGTTGTTAGGGGTATTCTGTGTCCAACCTGCGGGGGTCATGGCTAAGTAGCATTTGAAGGAAAAGAATATACGGAGAGGTACGTTTTCTTCCCCCTTCCTCTTTTTCCCTCTGGTACCTGACTTGCACCACCAGAACCCAGAAACTTCACGTTAAGGAGCGCGGGAATGTGTTCACACATCTAATCTATTGAGGTACAGATGAACTGCTTTGGGCTGTGGAATTCAACTGGTCGTGGTTCACGGATAGTTCTGTTATTTTTCTTGCGTACCTTCGCTTGTACCGACTTTTGAACCATGCAGCATACCAAAGGCATATAGGATCTCCCATATCGAGCAAGATCCCAACACCTCCCTCATTCGCTGGCTGCAACGACACCAAGCACCATCTAAGCCATAGGAAATCCAGCCGCGCTTGCACGACGTCGACATCTAGACCTACGTCGCTGCTGGGCTCATATTCATATATAATAGCGTGATGCTTTTCAGTTGGCGAAATCTTGTGTACCTTGTTTCCCAAACTTACGATGGGAGGATATAGGATTGAAGGCATTGTGCAAAGCGCCTTGCCATTTATCGACGTCCAACCGTAGCATTCCCTTAGACGAGGTGCGGTACTGTATTCCACTGCGCCCTGCATCGTTCGGTACACTTGTCGGCTGAGGCCATCGTCGGTAATCGCGTGAAGATTGGAGGCTGCGCCGTGGAATGTTGTCGGGTTTGGGTTCAACCAGATAGGGTCGGAGGAACTGTCGATCGCGAATCGCATCTTTGTAAGGAGCGACGCGTTTTGGCATTCCCGTCGGAAGGCCTAGTATCGTGTATCTTCTGGTGGTTGGTTATCCCAGAACTTGATGAACAGCAACATTAGGTACTTCAGTCAATGAGCGATCCGCTCGACCAGACTTACCACCTTAAGCGCATATGTCTGGATGTCAATGACGACTTCCCGAACGATCCCATCTTACCCATATCCGAGTTATTTGATAAAATCCATTCTTTTGTAGCTCGCGAAACGCCCCAGTAGAGGCCAATGGAAATTTTCCCATGCACAAGCGGCCGCAGTATCTTTCATTGGCTTCTCATCAAGGAATGGCTGGGCTTTCGCATGGCGACATCGTCTTTGGAACTCCTCGCCCCCCTCAATCAATCAAAAGGGACCTTGCCACCACTAACAATATACTCCTTCAATTTCTCAAGGCCGTGGAAGTCGTTCTCTGGTACTGCAAATTCTGCTTCTTCCAACTCCCAGCCAAAAGTCCCTCTCTTGTCCCCCATCTTCTCCCCTTGGAGCCTGCAAGAGTCAAAGTCGATAATGACAGGGATGTTTCCATCGAGTATAATGTTTGCAGGATTCAGATCGTTGTGAATGAGTCCGATCTGATGCAAGTGTCGCACCCCTCTCTCAACTCCTTCATAAAGCTTCACTCTCTGATCAGGACTAGAATCGACCACCTTGTCAGATAGTTTTGAGGTGTACTTGCCCAAGACCAGACCAATGATCTTGTCGTCTTCGTCCAAGCAACCGAAATATCGCACAATATTCGGATGCGGATGTTTCTTGAGCGTCTCACAAATCTCTGCTTCCTGTAAAACTAGATCTGCAATGCTCGTAGGGTTTGGATCCTTGGCATCCCACGAGATAAGGCTCGGTTGCTTGGGGTATACGTCGCCAAGCGACAAGGTCTCGGGTGCTTTGCTGATGCCTTCCTTGAACTTTGGACAGTAGTGATCTCGCGGAATAAGTGTGAGGTCAAGGGAAGAATGATCGAGGCTCTTGAGCTGTGATTCTCGCTGTTGGGAACTGGCGGCAAAGTAATCGTTGCCAATTCGCAGTATGATCTTGGTGTGATTAAATAGCCAGTCGTCGTCCTTCTCAGAGAAGGCCTCACTGTAGGCGACGATTTGCGACTTTCCCTTGGACTCTTGGCTTTCAGCAGGATTAAATCCGTTGGAAACTGGAGGTGATGGTTGCTCGGGCTTGGCGGACCTTCGTGAAGGGAGGTCGCTGGGATGAGAATTCGAGCTCATGTCATCACCAGCGAATGCACTGCTGTGACTTCTCTTGAGATTGACTTCTTGAATCTCCGCGTGGTCACCGTCGCTATCAGGAGCGCTGGCTTCTTTGTTATTATCACCTTCTTTGTTCTGCATTCTGACACGATCGTCAGGAAGAGGAATGCCATCCGTGATCTTGCTCTGGCCTTAGAATACAAGGTTAGAAAACCAAGTGCTAGAAAATGAATAATCTCAAACCACTTACCAGACTTGGAAGCTAACAAGTCAGTTGACGGCGGTTCACTTATATTGTCCATTTAAGATTGATACTAGTGACTTGAAATCGTTAGTGTAAGGAAGCAGTGCGAACCAAAGAGGGGCAGCCAATACCTGTACCGGCCCCGGTGCAACTAATAGCACGTGACCTTTACAGCTCTAACTGCTTACTACACATAAGGCTACATACGGTCTAATCCTGAACGCCTTAAGCGCAGTAATCTGAGACCCTATCAAAGGAGCCGAGAGCGGGGAATCTTTGCGCCTTGGAGTTGACCTGATATTTCCCAGCTCGTAGCCTAACCAGCTACGCGACTTATAGTAATGACCACGCGATCGGGAGTAGATAGGGTTTCGACAGCGGAAGAAGCAAGACTCCAGAAGCGCATAGACGTCCGTTTAGCAGAGATTCGTTTACAGCTTGAGAAATGCCGCCGATCCCACGGCACAATGTGTACCAGGCAAGGCATGACTGGTAGTCAAGGTAGCGATATCGTCCTCATCGATGTCGAGGCAATGCGGCTTGTTCGGACGACGACTCAAGTCCGATATCTTGCTCTCAGCTATGTTTGGGGCGGCGTGCAGCAGTTCTACGCTACCAAAGCGAACATATCTGAGCTGATGGAGAATGGTGCGCTTCAGGGCTATCTTGATAAAATACCGACTACCATACGGCATAGTATGAAGCTGGCCTGCGGTCTGAAAATTCAGTTTCTCTGGGTTGATGCTTTATGCATCATCCAGGACGATCTCTCGCACAAGAATGGCCAGATTGCGCAGATGGCTGCCATTTATAGCCAGTCTTACTTGACCATCGTGGCAGCTGAGGCTACAGATGCCACCTCACACCTCTCAATTCTCAAATCATATCCCCGGACTCCTAGTCGATCACAATACCTCGGAGCCCGATCTAGATGCGAACAGCTAGTCAGCCGGCTCCTAAACTCGACATATGGAAGTCGAGGGTGGACCTTCCAAGAACGCGTGCTATCACCAAGAATCCTCTACGACTTTGCCGATCACGCGCTGCTACTATGCCCATCAGGGCTGTGGCTAATGGACTCGGTAAGCCGCTGGCAAAAGGTCCAAGGATACAGCAAATCCTTCCGACAGCTAAGTCCGCTCGCCGGCTCGGTGAACTTTTTAGGATCTGCACCTGAATCACAGAGCTTTAAGCTCGATTTAGCAACGCTTGATACATATGCATTGATCGCTACAGAGTATACCACGAAACAGCTGACTTACGAGTCAGACATCCAACTTGCCTTCTGTGGCATCGCTGAACGGTTAAGCCGATGCCACCAACCGCCCCTGAGCTTTCTCTATGGTCTGCCCGAGAGGTACCTGGATTCTGTGTTATTATGGCATCCTGCCACGTTGGCCAAGAGACGCAAGATCGGCGGTCTTCCGAGCTGGTCCTGGATGGCCTGGATTGGGCCGATTGGATTCTCCTATCACATGTACAATACCAGTAGTTGGACCGTGTTGGGTCCTTGTCCCTGCCCCTGCATTGGACCTATTGAGATATGGTCTCAATCTGAAAAGCGGCTGATGCAAAGGGAATCTTGGGGTACGATAAATCCAATTCTGGAGCCCTGCAAAAGTGCCGAGTGGTCTTCTGCGGACCTGACGTGGCCACAGGAGGGAGCAGGACAAGTTCTTCGGTTTAGAGCTTGGTGTATGCCATTCAAGGAGACCTTCACCTACAAAGACGCTATGATTGAGGCTCCCGAGACCTTGAGAAGGCTTAGAAAGAAACGGCTTTGTCCCGGTCTGAAGCTTTGGTCTGGTAAAAACCACTGCGTGGGTTGGGTGATGGGAATATCTTCTCAAATGTTGAATCAGTACGAGGTGGGCATTTGGCGGCTCGAAGTGGTTCTTGTCTCGCAATGTGATCCCCTTTGTACGATCAGAGGAGGATGCTCCCTCTATTCTCCAGACGGGTATCTGTTAAACTTCTTGTTAATTAAAACACGGTATCCAGGCATGTTCTCAGAGAGGATTGCTGCTGGGCAGATGATGTACGAGGTATGTAAAAAGCGACAACCTAGTCAGAGAGATGTGTATCTCCATTGAGTTGCATGACCCTTGCGTTATTTTCGTCTTTTCCCTGAGTGTGGGTTACATATCTTGATTAAGAATAGCCAATGAACATTAATACAGATTATCGTTACATAAGTGTGAGAATTTGCGACTGAGCTCTGGTCAGGAAACAGCAGTAGATAATTATATTACCTTCTCACGTTGTTGAGGCATGCTGGAACCCGGGACGGTGCCAGGATATTGCCCGACCTCGGGCAATAAGCGATCAGGAACAAGAGTTTGAGACCGCGGATCTGCCACAGACCTTTCGAGACGCCATCAAGTTGGCGAGAGACCCGAAGATAAACGTCCTCTAAGTTAACTCGCTCTGTGTCATGAAAGGACCTGAAAGAGGCTGGAAAGACGAATTTGAGCGCAGAAGAAGTCTATTCTTCAGCTTACTGTAGTTCTGGGGCGCTGGTACAGGCGGTACTGTACAATATATTGTGATGAGCCAAATGTGGGCAAATGGCTATATGTCATCCCCGATGACACGACGTGAAAAACAGGCTTTGTTTCTTTGAGTCTCGAGGAAGGAAGGGAGAACTGAAATGGCGTATAAGCCACGAGATGCGTCGAGGTCGGGAGGCTGTACCTTTGGCAGTGACATACAATAGAGGTGATAGCCCGTATCGAAGCAGCCTTAATGAAACTCTTTCAAGTCGACGGAACATGATCGCGGGGTTCGTGAAGAAACCACGGCCAACGCTCGGGAGCATGCCAAGCGAGAAAGCTCCAGGTCCACCACTTCTCTTATCCCAGAACCCCTCTTCTGTCTGAACTATCTATTTAATGTGGTCAGTGACTCAGTATCGGCTGGGAAGCCTCCTGAGCTAGTAGTAAGCTCATCGATGAACCGGTTTACCTTCCGGGATTCGAACCATATGTAAAGTGCATCGGCCTTGAACTAAGCGATGACGTTCCTCGGCTAGCGATGGCTATAGCGACGACGAAGACGACCATGAAGATAACAATACTAATCATAAGAACGAAAACGAAACGCCCCTGAAGGGAAGTTTGGAGCACTGGCGACTCTGGTTTATAATGCAGCAAGTTTGGTTTGAGAAGAGAAGCGAGGTAGGTGTTGCTAGAGGCGATGTTGCCAGGACCTCTATATTCTTCAACTCATCTCTTGCACACACAAGTGGTCTAATTTGAAGTTTCTCTCTTCATCTTCGCCATAATAGTTGCCCTTCTCTAGCTATGCCGAGTGAATCCTCCCCAGTGCCGCTTTGCCACCATCATACGCAATCGTCCTTACACTGAACTGCTTAAGCTGCTTATAGTCAGTATAAAGTCCGTCTAGCGGTAGGCGTTGTGTATGTCCGACTCTGCGTCGCCTTCGTCGTAGGTTTCTAGGATTGTACTGAGACTAAGAATGTTATTGGTCAGCCTCCATGGCCGGAACTGGAGAGCTGGTGACGGAACTCTGCTGTTTAGCTGGGACAGCAAAATGGTCAGTGGAGTCATTTTTTCGAATGGTACTTGTCTTCCGCAGGCGTTGAAGATTTGTGAAGTTGGTCGAAACACAAGAAGAAAGGCAGCATGAAGGATGTTGCTGATATATGGAGGTTGCGCAGAGAGGTTCAAAGTATAACGCAGGCACAATTGAGGGGCCTTCTGAGGATGAGGCGCGTATCAGAAAAGGACATCGTGCAGGTAGATACTGTGATGCCGATGGAAGCTCTTGTATCAGACTGGAGCTCATTCGCTTCGATGGATCTTCAGGGTCCTGAGATACATCACAGAACCGGATCTGCTTAGTGCTAATTCTTCGGCCTCCCATATCGTCCTAGATGTGGATTGGGATCATTTGGAGCCGAATTTATCCACGATAATCTCTTCAGTGGGGGCGAGTTCCTTTTCTATTCGAGCACCACAAAGCCACTTAGCTATTCACAAGATCGGGATATCACTCTGCCATTTACTCCTTGATCCTCAGGTCCTTAAGGATATCCACTTGTATAATTTCTTGCGAAGATGGGTTCGCTTTGGGGCACACGAAGAGGACCGTAACGTCACCGTAGGCCTTTGGCAGATTCTCCTCAGTGATTTTCGGAGTTCCCAATCAGTTGGAAATCCCGGTTCTTCCAGTCTGAGGGGTATGACCAACTTTGGGGCAGCATTATCGGTACGGAGGTTTATCCTGGTAGTCTCCCCATTTATCTCTCGTGCTGCTTCGGCAGCAGACTGGGCAAAGAAGTTCTCTCGTGACTCCTGCATAGGTTCCATCGCGCTGTGTTTCCGCTGGTCAAGGCGAGCCCTCTCAGCGTCTTCGTAATGCCCCCTATGACGTCTTGCCTTCTCCAAAGCGGCTTGTCCGTACTGGCTATCCTGACATTCCTAGATGCTAGCCTTATCGGCGGGAATGTTCTTGAAGGGCAATGAATCCTCTGACGGAGGCCGTCGAACAAAGGTTCGTTGACAGCACTACCAGCATAAGCTCCGAACAGTCCTTGGTCATCAACCCTCGTCATTTTAGCTGCCGGTCTCATTCCTCTGAGCGGGATCTACTTCCTCTCAAGTGTGATATAGTCGGCCAGGCGTCTGAGATCTCGATCCGATTGATAACCGGGCTATATGTGAACAAGGCCAGCAGTGGAGAAGTGAAAAAGGAGAAGAAGAGAGTCCATGGACAGGCCATGGAATGTAGCAATAGATGAGGAACAACAAATCAACATCATCCTCATAGACAAATAATGCCAGGAGTGAAGGAAGATAACAACCTTATAATAATTTGATAATAGTTTCTCAGACGATAAAATCGATGAACTCGCTATCCTTTGTTGTTACATGACGAAGGCCCCTTGGGCGAAACTCACTGCCCTGGTGTGTATGTATAGGGTACCCTGTGAATACGAACATGAAGTGGAAGTGAAAGACGGTATAGCCGACCAAATAAAGGGACGGATCATTGCCTTGACATCGAATAATCATGATTGACCAAGGGCGAGGAAGGACAAAAAAAACAAGGTCTTGGCCCTAGGATTGGTTGTGAGGCACGTCAGTTTTTCTACCTGCCGCGTGCTTCAAAGCACGTGAATGGACACGAGCTCACGCGACGAAGTGGTAATGTTAGACTAGTAGAGGGCAAGAAACAATGCATAATTCTAGTTCGGTACGACACGAACAAACAGGCATCTCGGCGGATCACCACATCAAGTCAAGCCGTGGCAACAGGTAAGCTCTATCGTTTCCCCGGACGCCGTGTCCGGTTTAGTGGGGCCGCGCGGCTCGGTACGGAGGTTTATCCTGGTAGTCTCCCCATTTATCTCTCGTGCTGCTTCGTCATTCAACTACGGGGGTGATCCTCCACAACCATCAGTCGGCACCCTCGTTACTGCCATCTCTATGGGCGACTGTGACGCGAGATCAATTCGTACGTCCGTTGGCCATTATTCGAGCCAACGCGGTGGCACGTCGCGCATCGCGTCACGTCTTCTGAGCTTGCGATGCTGCTACAATGCTCAACATGCGCGGCAAGTGAACAACAAGACCACAACCACCTTAACGACTTGAGCACGCGCTAGACCACGATGTAATAGCTTGAGAGCCTTTCGAATTATATCCTCGCTTAGCGCCCGCGCCTATAACTGCGAGCGACGCTGTCCGCGGATTCTTGCGCGATCCTTGCTAACGCACCGTCATTACTTCCGCCCGACGCTATACAATATCTCGGCCATAACCCTGGGAGCGACAGTCTAGATATAATCTACGGCTGCAAAAATACTCGCATTCTGTTTCTACATTTTACCGATCGACGTGAGGACAATTGCGAGGCGACGATGTCCGACCGGACGAGTTGAGTGCGAGGGACTTCGTTGGTGCTGAGCCGGATTGAGAAGCGCCCAGTGTCACTCCCGAAATGCTCTGGATATAAGCGGTCCTCATTTGTCTTCTCATAGGGGACATTCAGTATCGGGTCCCCAAGACGGAAGCGATCATGACTGCCTTAGCCAGGGAGAAGGGAGCATAATTGTCCAAGTTTCCAGCGGAGAGCTGATGCCTCAAGTGCAACGTTAGCCATGCCACCTTAGTTTAACCTAGTCTAGTCATGACTCCCGATATTACCTCCCGCGGAACCTATACACTCAATTCAAGCACGACCCCCCTTAATGCCGAATCGCCGCCGAGTCCAATCTTCATTGGAAAGAAGAGGGGAGATCAACATGAAGCTTAGCAGCACTGAGGGAAAGGACCTAAGGTTACTTGGTTTATCCATGAATACATCCATCTACAATACAAACTCGTGGTAGCTCGGCGGCCTAAGCTATACAATAACCCGATTCATGTCGGGGATACATGACGACACTGCAATGGAGTCAATTCGATATGAACCTCTGTCGACTCTATTGGGATACTTCAACTAGGTAGTGGTTTCAGATCGACTCTGGTCTGGTTCGTCTGCACCTTATGTCGCTCACGGGGTCTTCATCAGTCTACTCCCGGACTTGAGTCAAACCCAGATCGGTTCCTACGCGTCAGGTGGCTGTTGATTGCTCTGCTGTTCAATCTTCCTTTCAAGCGGCCCGGGCTTTACCACGATTGGAGACCCTATCTTGGGTACCCACCAAACTCTTCTTGCCGTCGCGATTCATCATGATATTGTACTCATACCAGCCCGCTCATATGTATCTGGACCGACATTCACGCCTTTACGCCTGTTAGTGCAATGATCAGTGTTCACAAAGCATGTCCGCTTAAGGATCTTGCATAGACCTATATTGGATCTCATCTTTCCCAACAAGGTGCTTGCATAATACACGTGGAGGACGTTGCGAAGTTCTTATAAACGATATCGACGGAACTCAGCTCTGTAAGATACCTTGTTCTCGGGCCAGGAAGACCACAGGGCGATACGGCATTGGACAAGGAGGTCTGGGGGCCAATGAAATGCCTGGCCAGGACAGTGAAAGGCTATACTGCGAGATCAAAAGCTTCATTGCCGATTTAAGCCTTCTTACCAGCCATCTTAAGATTCTCAGCATAGTAACCAAGATCTGGGGCTGAAGCTGACCTAGCAGTTGATACTGATGACAATGCACTTATGTCGGCTTCTGCAATAGGTCTCGTTATCAGTGAGGACTCGGTAGAAAACGCAGACGGGGGATGCCATTCACGATCAAGCCCTGATCACACTCAGCTCTCGTGGCATTCAATCACTTTCTTCCTTCAATTTCTTTACAGACGCCCTTATCTCCACGGGAAACCATATAGCTAAATGGCTCATTATACTTTTCCTGCTGATTCTGCAATGTAACTCGTATTGATGTTTCTTTTTGGGTAGAGAAGTAAGGATCTTGCTTATGGATAGTTATGGGTTCTCCAATTTCCTACCCCGCGTTGTCCGACACGCACGTTTCAGGCAAAAGTCTTGTTGTTAAAGGTCTTTTGTTCCAGACCGACCCTTCGCTGCCCAGCGATCCAAGGACCTACCTTGACCAGCGACCTGATAATTTGGGTGGTCAAGACATTGATACGTCGATGGTGTTTGGTTCTGAGTGGCAAGATATCACAAGGCATGGTTTAGGTATTCTAACTTGCAAGCCGTTGTGGTTGATTATGATGAATGACTATACTATCTGCTATTCTTCATGAACAATCGACAAACAATAAAATCTAGACATCCCGCCCTCGCATTTCATCCGAGCCTTAGTATCAAGCATGTATGCTTCTGAAGACTTCCATTCAATGATGTTACTAGCTCCTGTTCTGACATTCTGTACAGTGACTTGAAGATTGCCAGAGCCATGTAAGGGTCGTGGTAAGTAAATCAGCCTTTGACCTTTTCCTGCCACCAAATGACCTTTCATATGGATTAGGTCTTTCCCTTCAGATATCAGCCCTGATGATTCTTGTTCAGGCTACTTTATCCAATGCGGGTGCTTCTTAGTTACTGAATCCCATTATATAATTTATGTTCATTACATACCAGTACTTGAAGGACCTCAAGAGCAACCTCCTGCTTTTTATCGCTCCATGGGACTTTAAAGAAAGCGGCAATTGGGAACTGAAGTTTCTTCAGAGATATAGGGTCAGGAGGATGCTTGGCAGAGAGATCATCTGCAGCTTGAAGGTGGTCCTCAAGATCGGCCGGCAACGTCAAACGCGTGAAGACGCCGTGGCACACAGGTTCTCGCATATCTGGCGAAAGTAGTTCAGAGAGGTCTTTAGACATGACGGCAAATTTGTAAGGACAAGACAAGGCCACCCGAGACTAGTGGCTTGGTGGTGAGCATCATCAAGCAAGACCTTTTTGCTGATCAAGGGTCTGTCTTTTATACCAGCCGACGTCAAAAATTAAGCCCAACTGGAACCCAAGAAGCGGAGGAACATATAGCCGACAATGCCCCCGCGCAAGCTAGGATAATATGCATGTACTGCGCGCGCGAAGACACACCAGAGCGCGGGTGGTCTGCGCGCGAACTCTAGTGCTTGTGCGAGCCTATGGATTGCGCGCGCGCAGTCAAAACCAGGATCTACTGTTCTGCGCGCGCAAAGGTTATTTATTATGTGATACTCTTAGTCAGACATACCCCTCATGGCGGAACTCCCATGATGTTCCTTGCGGGGTTTTCTGACCACAGCAGTTGGGCCGCGAAGCAGCACAACAGCTCAGCGCCTAACCAATCAATATACCGTAAAGGCTGGCTTGGTTGCTGTCTTGATCTTTCGACCTGCACAACCATTGAACCCTGCTACTGTGACCCTGAGTTTTAAAGATCTTATTTTTGCAAATGAACATGGTAAGCAATCTCATGCGCTTTTGTGCTTTTACACTCTACGGTACTAATTTTGTCAGGATACTGATCGAAGTAAGGCTATTGATGAGTCTATATGGGACAGTGCTACTGTATTGGGACCAACCCTTTACAAGGATGGGACGATGCTATGGAAAAACTATACTACATTATGCAAAGATGTCGATGATAAAGACTAGATCCGGATGAAAAAGACTGGGCAGTGGGAAATAAGAAGGCACTGGGAGCTTTACCTGACTGGTGGCGAGATCAGGAGAAAGAAATAGTCTTGCTCAACAATTCCAAAAGCATGACGATATCAAGTTAGCAATCTTAACACCAACGACGAGAGTAGGCCGGCATGGTACATTAGCCGCACCAGAACCTCTCACGTCGAGCACCTTGAGAACGCAAAACCTCGTTCTTCCTCCCCAAGGCGTCTCCTACAGTGCTGAATTCCGTTGCCGATCATGGTTCAGAAGTACCTTTCCCGAATTTCGAGATCAGTCTCCTGGAATCTCAGAGTAGGAATGACCTACAAACGCCTTATTCCCTGCCGAATACCACCCCTCCTTTTTCCATGCTCTTGAAACCGCACACTGTAAAGGTTCATGGCGAGCCGAATACAATCTGAAGCCTGTATTTCAATGATAACTTTGCACTCATCGGGGCCATATTCGGATGCGAGCAGTATGGCAGCCTGAAACCATATCTAATAACTACGCTGCCAAGTTCATGTTGAAAGACAAAAAGCAGCCTACTAACATCCAGATGCACATGATTACCCTACTAGTTGATCTAGAAAGGTGGAAGATTTGGATTTGCAAATCGCTCAAGCTTATATCCTCATGGTTGGCTACTTTCTTCTGAAGCGTCGACTGACCTGGCGGATTACTGCACAAGCGATTAGCTGAGCCTCGACGATGGTGATGTTGGCGGTGGACTCTGAAGACGGAGTGGACAGTGGTAAAAGCTCTGTGATACAGTCTCAAGATCAGGAAGAGTTGACTTCTGCGTTGCATCTTGTGGCGACGAACCCCAGCACGAAAACCCGTTCAGATTTGAGAAACCTGCCTAGCTCAATTACAACAACGATGACCTATTGAGGTTAACCAAAAGTACGCCAATCAGATACGTGGCCCGGTCGTGTGTCCTGGCTAGACTACCGCTGGTTACGAGATCTTGTAGGTGACAATCAAACAGCCACGCCATCGTAGAGACAAGCCGCCTACACAACGCAGAGATGTATCGGGGTCGATCATACAGTCCGTCTTCCGCAAAAGGCGGCCAAGTGACGATTTTTGGAATCGGATACGCGACGACCGTAGCAATCCGCCGTTATCTCCCCGATATTCCACGATCTCGCTATGGTAGTAGGGGATTTGGTGGCTACGTTATCTTCGACATGCTATTAGAGGCGCTCAAGTAAATTTCGTAATATAACAATCCGATATGAAGCACTTTTTACATGCAGTTCGATGAATCATTCTTTCAAGCTGATCTGCTTGACGCGTCCCCCCTCCGGTAGACTATAATGGCTACCCCTGATCCAGCATCTTCACCCATCTCAGCAAATAAGGTTTTCATCGACTGTCATTACAGTTGAATGGTGAATTAGCAATTATTAAAGAACATGGGAACCTTGAATGATCGCAAAGGGCAGCTGCAGAAAGCTTTCTTTGAAGTTCCTTTTACATGTCATGCAGATGCCACAGTACAAAGCTTTCATCACATCCACTGCTTCAAAGGCAGGCATTGCAAAGAGAAATTGCACTCGCTATCAAAACCCCGGGTATAAAAGCTATTTCGCCAGCTGGACTCTGACTTAAGATCCGCCACAACTCAGAATACAGTCCTCACTTCCCGTATATCCTCATCTGTCATCCATCAAAGCTGATATAAACACCTGGAGGCCAACAATGACTTCTCCTACCAAACCATTCCAAGGAGATAAAGTCCGCAGATACTTCGCTCAGCTCTCCGGTCAGGCGAAAAAGGACGCCATCTACAAGTTTCTCAAGCGGTACAGCAAACGTGTACAAGAATTCCTCAACATGATCGAACCGGAACCCGAGCCCAATCTCGCTCAAAAACTCCTAACAAGTGTCTCCGAGAGTGATCGTTCGATCATATCGGACCAGCAAGCGACTACTGAGGCCATTTCACCAACGCCGGAGCTCACTAACAACTCATCTTCTGACCCTCCTGCAGCAGAACATTTGCGACTTGCCTTTGAAGGTTTATCCTTAGGTTCTTCGGAAGCTGCGGTCATCAGGAAGAGAGCTCGGTCGCAATACGTTGACGACGATGAGGCAGATGGTCAACCTGCTGCCAAGCGCCGCAAGCGTTTCCACGGTGGTTCATCTCATTGTCTTTAAAAGGGTCGTAAGGATCAACAGTTTTGACAACAATGAACTTAGAATGTGGTTGATGGAGGAAATGGACTTGCAGGACGATAGGTCGGAAGGGACTGTTTGAGTTATTGAAGGCTTCCCTACGTCGATGGCATTTTGGATAAAATGGGGATCTTGTTGCGATAGACTACGAGACAGTTGTTATTTTACAGAGGTTACCCTTTGATCTCAACTTCCCACTGCAGTGACTTGCGTACTGCTTGTATCCAACCTCCCAGTTGTCATTTTGCTGCCCTACGGCGTTAAGGTGAGTTCCAGGCGTTAGTACAGAAAATTCTACCGCTTGCTCACAATGAAATATCGAACAGAAATCCCTATTTATAGCGTGTAATCAGACGTCTTTGCGAATCGCCCGGAAAAAGCTGCCCCGCCAAATCAAGTAGGCCAACTGGAAGTGGGGAGGGACGTCAACAAAGCCTTCAAGGACCTTTTGACCTCACACAACTGCGTGATTTCACTTTTATCTCATAATTGCGCTCTATTTTCCTGGCTTGACTAGATTCCTCTCAATGAGGGCAGGTTAAGTGTCAGCCTTGGGCGTCAGGATTGAGATGAGATGGCACCCGCCCAGCCGGTTCTTTGCATTAGTGTTCCACCACCATGATATAGGGACCCTCCTAACATCGCATCGATGGAATACCACCCAGAGTACCCAGAACTTCTGTCAAAGAATATTACATATCAAACTAGCCAGAAAGAGAAACTTCTCTGTTGGACAGTATGTAACCCTGACCACATTCTGAGGCCTTGCGTGGTGGATTGTACCATTTGGCTGCTCAGAAATAAGACACTGCGCCTAACCAGGTCAGGTCTACAGCCTCTGACCAACGCCTCAGAGAGCTCAGTAATGTTTAATCCTGACGGAATTTGCGAAGATTGTCCAAAGCAGGGTTTAAAATTCCTATAGGTACCTAATAATAGCTTAATGCCCAGTTACCCAGGCATATAGTTAGGTAAATAATAGTATATATAGGTACCTATAGGTATTTTAGAAACTCTTTATACTACCTAAAAAATATATAAGTATTAAAAAGTACCTATAGGTACTTATAGGTAATATTATACTCTTTTTA